ACAATCCAAACTCAGATCTCAGCACGCTTATAATCAAGCTGAACGTCTCTACAAAGACGAACCCCATGACACCAAAATTAGTCCAATCCATGTCCAAATGGCTCGAATCAAGGGACTGAAGCATATTTGAAAGCTTCAAAGCATTAATTTGATAACCAAATAATCTATATATTACATTCTTATAGTTGAATCAAGCGGCTTGACAAGATGAACATAAGCCCAATATATATAAAAATAATAATAACAATGAGCCAAATATCACTTAATTATCATACTATTAAGGCATTTACATGCTTAATGAAAGCTCTATGAGCGAATGAATCAATATAAACCATTTGATGTAGCACTTTGAAGTTGCTCTAGATTTTCTTTATATTTACAGAACATGTCACTCCCAAAAATATATAAATATGTCATCATTCTTCATATGAGAGGGGAGGAGGAAGAGAGAGAAAGAGAGCTACAGAAAGAACTCTCTTGCATTTTCGAGCCTTCACCGTCGACGATCGCCTCTTGTTATCGCTACCAAAAATCATTATTTCCACTGACAACCGGCATAAAAAAGGGGGAAATCACCATAATATTTAGAATACCGAAAAAATTTATGTTGGGTATATTCGTCCTCCTTTGGATATCTATTTCTATAATCCTTATTGAGAAAATTAAGTCTTATTGTTGAAAATAGACTATCCCTTTATGCACACTTGATCTTTATACTCTTCTTCTTCATGATCAAGGAAGAAAGGAGGATATTTATATCACTTGTTGTATAGTGAATTTTACAGTTGGGCCAAGCCCCTGGTTTTTTCCCTTTTTGAATTTTCCATGTAAAAAATTCTCTTGTCATACTATTTTTATCTATACGTGCTTGTTATATCATCAAAAAATTATCTTGATCGGACACGAATATAGAGGCAAAAATCAAGTTGGAAACTTCAAAAATTAAATTCAATACTAACCGAACTTTGATTTCAGTAAACTTATAGTTGAACTGAACGTTTCAGAAATACAAACCCAACAACACTAAATTCAACTCAATCCGAGCTCAAATGAGTCCAAATCAATGATCCGAAGCCCATTCGGAAGGTTCAAATCATAATTTGAATTACCAAATGGTTTCCAAACGTGAAATGCTTATAGTCGAACCGAGCGGCTCAACAAGACGAATCCAACGAGTCCAAGATCATAAAATTTTGATATCATTAAGGCATTCAAATGCCTAATAAACGGTCCATGATCAAAGGGATTCAATATCAACCGTCTATTCAAACCACTCCAAATTTACCCTTGATCTTCCTCCTATTTACTGGTCTTGCCACAATCAGAAAACTATAAATAGACCCCTCATTTCACATAGAAAGAGAACCCCAAGGGGGGAGGAGGCTCAAGCAAGAAGAGAAGAGAATGAAGTAAAGACGAGAAGGAATTGACTCCTCCTCGATTACCGCCGGACTTTCACCCGGCAGCCTACTGATGCCGAAGTTCTACCAGAATGCCATCTAAAGCCGGAGTTCTGCCCGGCCGTCGACTGATTTCGGACTTCTACCCGACGCCTGACCTTCTCTCGTCACCAGACTTCTACTTAACGTCAGAGTTTTGCCCGTCGCCAGACTTTCGCCGGACTTTTATCCGATGCCAGACTTCTGTCCATCGACAAACTTCAACCCAACATCAGACTTGCACCCATTGCCAGATTCTTATTCGACACCAGACTTCTGCCCGTCACCAGATTTTTACCCAATGCTAGATTTCCGCCCATCGTCAGATTCTTGCCGGACCCCGAACTTTTGTCCGTCATTGGAATTCCGTCGAACTTCTACCCGTCGTGAGACTTATACCCGTCTCCATACATTCGTCAGACTTCTATCCGATGTTGGACTTATGTCCATCGTTGGACTTCTATCTAACGTTGCCCACCGACTATAGTCCTTCCGACCTCCGTCGCCCGCCGACTATGGTCCTTTCAACTTACATCACTCACCAATTACGATCCTTCTGACCAAACAAACACATAAATAGTGATTCTTTATAATTTCACCATGTAATGTACTCTATAGGATGTACGTCAAGCTAAGGCTTTCCCCAAAGGAAGGGCCTCATTTGCAATCAACTACAAAAACTAGTGGATTCCTTCAAACTGGACTATAGCCCATGATTTTTTCCCCATTTTAGAGGTTTTCTAAAATCTTGATGTCTCTTATAAATTTTGCACCATCTCTCTATCTGATTGCGTGTTGAATCTTCGTACAAAAATTAAGACGCTAAACTTTATATTTCTCTACCGCCACAAATATTCAAGGATGCAACAGTGCTGAATCTTTATACATTACTAAAATATAAAATACATATTCTATGGACTTAATTTTTTAGCACACAACAATGGGTGTTCATTTGAAACGTTATGACTGTTAGAAGAAGTCAATTAATTAATTTTACCTTTTTACTTACGATTCAATGTACTTTGTTGTATCGTAATCACATGGCGGTTGGCTGATGCCGATCTGATCTATCAGAGTTTAATTATTAATTATAAAGACTAAGGGGCTTCTACAGTTCTACGTCACCTGCAGTGGGCTTCTGTTTTGTTTTTTGACCTTTTTTTTATTTTAAATTTTGACGGCTAATATGAAATGGGATTATATTTAATTGCTAATTAAGCATGAATCAAAGATTAAGAAGATTAAACCAATAATTATCTATTCATAATTAACTTATTAATGAATTAATCATATTTTAAGTTTTTTATTTTGTTAAAAAATTGTTTGCTTAATTAATTTTCAAATTAAAATTTATACGAAAATAATTATATTCAAATGAAAGATAGTTTTGATTTAAAATTTCATTAATCTTTTTCATACTAGATATCATAAACCTAGGGTGATCCCACCATATCAATATTCTCTTATCAATCATGCCTAAGACTTTAGGATTTGTTTGTGATAGCTTTTTCGTTACTTTGCTTTCGAAAAAACAATCATAATTTTATTTGACTACTTATTTTTTTGTTGCTTTCTTACTGTTTTTCAAAAATTTATATGGTGAAAAACTATTTTTTACAACAAAAATAGCTTCTTCCCTCAACTTTTTCGTCCATACTTGAGACCAACAATAAATGTTTGAAGAAAATTTTTATATGAATTTATTAGTTTAAAAAGTATAAAAGCATAAAAATGATTAATTATATGTGCTTTTATTTCAACAAAAAATAAATATTAAATAATTTATGATTAATTAAAAAAGATAGAAAAAGTGAAAATATTTTTAGCTGCAGTCATCTCGTGCCCCCTCAAGGAGACATTATTAGGTGCGGAGTGCGGACGAGGAGAACCGTCCGCACACAAGTATATGGGTACCGTTTGGTACCCTGTGTTTGTGCAGACGGTTCATACTACGCACCTAATAATTTTTCCCCCTCAAGGCCCCCCTCCGCCATTGTCATTAGTAATCATGGGATGCTAAAACTACAAAATCTTGATGAGATTAATCTCTATCCCCACAGCCATATCCCTCTATTAGAGCTCAAAATCAGGTTCATGTGATCTCTTTGACTAGTTAATTAATAAATATATTAACACTAATGACATATGGATACATCATTAATATTAATTGAAAACAAATTCAAAGGGATAACATATAGTAATTATTATAGATGTTGACTCTATGTTAGATAGGAAAAGGAGAAGTATCTTAGATAGAAATAATGTAATAAAAGTTAAGATTAAGTCATCCCTATTGAAAAAAACAAAAAAGAGGAAGGTTGTTGAACTGGTAACCTTTCAAACATTTGACAAATAAATATTAGAAAAATGGGGGGGTTATTTGATTATTTAGAAATTACAACTGGTATATTAAATCTCTTGTGGACAAAATTCATTATTTAACATTAATTGCTTTGATATGATTTTCTTAGCATAATCCTATTTAAAATAAAGAAGAAAATAAAATCAATTCACAATATTTTTTAGTTGAATGAATTTATAATTTCAATTATTTTTTTCAAAAATTTTTTACTACAATTTTAAGTATTCAAACATATTATTTATGATTTACCGAAACTAGTTAATTTTTTCCACATGAAAGAATGCTTCTTAGTTTAGTTGATAACATCAAATTTGTGATTCGAAGCTCATCATGCCCGAATAAATAAATGTTATAATGCATATGCATACATGATAGCATGATCAGGAGCATTTTCTGTTTGTCACTGTAAACAGGGGTAGAACTAGCATTTCGTTTTAGGGGTGAAGAGGAGAACTGAGTCCAGCGAGTCGCACCTAGCACGATTCCTGCTGCCGAGTTACGACTGTCGCGCGGAGAAGAACGAGGGTGAGCATGAGCGACTGAGCGGATCGGGCTGCCAGGACGAACAGGGGGGCAAAAGTAAAAAACTTGGGGTGACAATTACCCCTCTAATTACATCATAGTTTCACCTCTGGCTGTTAGAGCATATATTAATCCTCGTTAACGGCTAATAACTTTCTATAATGTTTACGAGGTCTTAAGAAATGACATATGATAAGAAAAAAAGCTTAAATATTATGTTTATAATACTTTTTTATCATCAAAATTTGATGTCCAAAACCTATATGAATATTAAGGCTTCTATCATTTGAAACTCCAATCAAAACCACTAGCACACCCACATCAAGGAATGACGCCGTGGCTTATCAACCAAAGTATGAAGCACATACATCCAATAACATCTGCTTTTCAAAACGCGAAAGTCAACAATTGATAGCTCATAGTTAAACTACTTAAAATTATAACATCATGAAGAGCATCTGCTCTCCATTTTTAATTTAACGTTCACTTTCCTAAACATATCGTAAGGAATTAACTAATGGACAGAGATCATCTATAATAATATAATGCGTAATTAGCTTTCAAATATCATTAATTAGAAGGTGATTAATGACCCTTTGATGTGTACAAAGTACTTATAATCTATATATGAATTCTATTTAAGGCACGCCTCGCTCCATCAGGGGGGAAAACAAGTCTTCATCCTGAACTATGGCAATGAGAAAATCTCTTCTACTACTAATCTTATTGTTCAGCTTGGAATTAACTGTAGAAAGCAGTTCATGGAGAAGAAAAGAGCTCATGAGTAGAAGAGGAGCAACCGGCATCACTACAAAACTGAGGAAATATTTGTCTTCTGATGATGGTACATGCAAGTCAAGGGTGGAGATCTTTGGTTATCCATGCGAGAATCACTCGGTATTACTCTATAGAATCTTTTTTTTCAAGTGCCGAAGCATGCATATATTTAATTTAGGCAAAATTTGGGGGCTGTTTGGTAGTAGGATTTAGGCGGATTTGAGCGAAATCCAGCCAAACGGCCTAAAATGCAAAACCAAATCTCACGGTAAATGAAAGCTACGGTAGATGGAAAGTTACCTCTTTTTGTGGTAAATCCCGGATTCCTGAAACCCTCTGATTCGGCGGATTTAACTCTCTATTGGAGTGAACAGAGATTATTCTGTGCGGACACCGAACAGGAGAATTGTCGGGTACCGCTTGGTACCGAGCGCGGTACCGAGTGATCGGTACCGCTAGGTATCGCGCTCGGTACCGAGCGCGGTACACTTTTAGGGTGAAGTGGTGCATTTTTATTATTTTGAGAGGGAAGAAAGTCCGCTCGTTTCAGGATAAATGAAAGGCAATGTTATTTTTTAAAGAAGCTTGTTTGTATTTGTAGGTCACAACAAAAGATGGATACATGCTTAGCTTGCAAAGAATTCCTGGTGGGAGGACAGGTGATTCCTCCAAAGGCAACAAAGGCCCTGTTTTGCTACAACATGGCCTTTTCATGGTAATAAGCTACGCATTGGGTAATCTTTATAAGAAATTAGCATGTGCAGAGTCTTGGCACTTAAAGTCGTTCGATTTTGTGATTGTGAACAGTAAAAACGAGTTAATGTTCACCACTATATGTGCTTTTACAGTAACAATGTTCACCCATGTGCTTTTACTATTCACAGTCATAAAACTGAATGGTTCTCTGTGTCCGGACTCCGCACGTAATAATCTCTCTATCTATATATACATAGTTAATTTGGCACATTTAACAAGTCTTTAAGTATATAATTTATTAAATTTTTTAAGGTTAATTTTTTTCCATTTCTTAATAAGATTTAATTTTTCATATTTAGTAAATTCTAAGTTTGAGTGATAAGTATTTTTGAATATGTAATTACTTAAAAGTACTCACATTGCGTTTTGTAGTTTAATAATAATTAATGATTAATTCCCTTGATGCATATAAAGGAAATTAATAAATTTATGATTAAATTATTAAGCATTTCTCTAATCTTTCCTTAATTACAGGATGGCTTCGCATGGCTGGTGAACTCGCCAAATCAGTCATTAGGATATATTCTTGCGGATCATGGCTATGATGTATGGCTCGCAAATGGTAGAGGAACTGTTTATAGTCTGGGACACACTTCTCTCTCTTCAAGTGATTCAGTAAGTTCATTTCTCTCTCTCTCTACTATTTTTTTTTTCATACATTATTAGATGATTTATGGTCGGTTTGAAACGAGAAATTATTATGTGCGGAGTCCGACAAGGAGATTCGTCTGGATTTGTTGCGTATTTACTGAGTATTTGATGCGTATTTGTAAATACTTAGTTGTGCCTATTACTAAGTATTTTGTGAGTACTTGCTGATTTATTGCATGTGTATTTATTGAGTATTTACTAGTATTTAAAAATACTCAGTAAATACGCAACAATCCGGATGATTCTTCCTCTCCAGAGTCCCCACAGAATAATTTCTCGTTTGAAACAGCTTAAACTTTTTATAAAGTTGATTATAAAGTTGTTGTAGAGAAAATAACTTTCTTTGAGAGCTATTGTAAAACGACGCATGATCGCGAGTCGGGAGAGCCCAACCAGCATAAGAAGGTAGGTTGGACAATAGCATCGGTTAAAACTGCTGCTAATACCCAGTTTTGACAGCAGTTTTCAAACCGTCCATAACAAGTGCTGCGAATGATCACATTTTTTCAATAGTGTGCAGCTTCCTATTATTAGCTAAAAAAAATTATGATAGCAGTCTATCTAAATCAAAACTTGATGCTCATTTAAAGCTCTTCAAGGGATCCAGTTAGCTCACATTATGATTAAGAAATGAGTTAAAATTTCTTATAATCATATTAATTCAATAATACCTTATATAGGCTTATTGGGATTGGTCATGGGATGAACTAGCAGCCTATGATCTTCCTGCCACAATTGATTATGTGTACCAACAAGCAGGTCATCAAAAAATCCATTATGTTGGGCACTCTCAGGTGACTAACTGAGCATTTTTAAACAAAACTCTTAATTAATTAATTTAATCATAATTAACTAAGTCATTAATGCCTTAATTTGTTTTCAGGGAACTTTAACTGTTCTGGCATCAGTCAGTGAACAAAATCTAGTTAACAGACTAAGGTCTGCTGCCTTGCTTTGTCCAATAGCTTATTTGAATCAAATTCCATCATTATTCATGCATGCAGCTGCCAGAATTTATCTTGGAGAAGTAAGTGCTCCTCCTCTTAAGTATTTATATTATATAATCCTCTTATTTTCTATTAGTCTACCTCATTGTATTAAAATCTTTTATTTGAAATTTAAATTAATTAAAAATTGTTCATTATTTAGTCCATAATTCAATGTGAATTTGGGAAAAAAATAGTGCGGGATGAAATGCTGTTAAAATATTCGAGAGAGAGAGAGAGAGAGTGTGTTTTTTTTCTGCATTTTAATTTCTATAAAAAAACTGTCTCGCCTTAGCCTTTTTACAGACAAAATACTAAGATCATCTTCAACCAAACTGCATACCACCGTATGTCGTCCTACATTCGCTGCATTTGAATTCCAAATCTCATGTTAAAATTCAGTAGGTGAATAGTGTGACGCCAATATTGACGTCAGACTCTTCACCTACATCTAAAAATTGGGTTGCCGAATTTGTCAAAGATGAGCAACAATTAGGAGAAAAGCATGCGAAAGATGAGAGAGATTGCTACCTCTACAGGAAGCACGTGAAAGAAAAAAAATACAGCTCGATTGAAGATGAATTATAATATTTTACTATATTTTAAGATGCTCTAAGAAATAGTTTTTAGTTCTTCTTTTTCACTTTTGGTTGATTATTTTAACAGCTACTGACAAATGAATCCTTTTCTGCAGCAACTTTACTGGCTGGGCATTGCTCAACTAAATCCAACTAGGTAACAATTAAATCAATCTCATTCCCTTAATCCATAAATTAGACTCTAATTACTGCTTATTTTAAGCTACTAATTATAATTTATATTAACTAATTAAATTATGATTCTAATTTCAGATCAGCAGTGAAAACATTTTTGGAGACGGTCTGTTTGTTTACAGGATTTGACTGCTATGACTTGCTAACATTAATCACAGGTATTCTTAATTTTTTTTATATATAAAAACTATCAGAATTTCATTTCTTCAAAGAAAATATATCGATCATAATAAATAATATTTTTATCATCAAATTTTGATTAGGTAAAAACTGCTGCCTGAACTCATCATCTGTTCAATTGTTTTTGGACCATGCTCTGCAGTCAACTTCAACGAAGAACATTGTTCACTTATCTCAGAGTAAGTCCACTAATCTTTTTATGGCCAAAATATATATTTAATAATTAAAAATAAATGAAAATTTAACTAATCAAAATATATTCAAATATGCTATAAGATAAATGAGCACAATCAGTATATATAAACATATATATTTTTGTTTACAAGCCTTATAGAAACATATCAGTACAAAAAAATAAGGTTATCGCAACACAAATTTCGATCTATACCGGCGGTTATGACTGCTGCTTTTTTCATTGTCATGCACGACCGCTGTAATTGTAATGCGCTGCAACGACATACCGCATCGGTTTATAGACCGGCGGGGTAGTTTTGTGGAAGTACTTAATTTAGCAGCGATCAATCCTAGTGCAAACGTACATATTTACAACGATTTACCTAGAAAAAATAAATTGATTTAAAGCCGCCCAAATATCTGCTGCGAAAAAAATCTTCTTTTTGGTAGTGATATAACAAATTCAATTTTATTTTCTAATCAATATTTGATAATGAAAAATATTAAAAATGATTCTAAATATATTACCATCAAAGTTTGGTAAATAATTAATAATACATTTATTAATTGCAATAAAATTAATTATTGAATCATTAGTATCATGTTAATAGACCAACCAGCTCGATTAAAACCCAATCATGACATAATTTATATTTAAAAATAATTAAAAACATATCAATAAATTGTTGAAAAATCAAATTCTATTAAATAAATAAATTTAAATGATATAACAATCAGTTAATGAGGCCTTAGGCCTCTATTTATAAAAAATAATAATAATATAACAATCATTCCTGATAAATATATGCAGCAATGAGAAGCGCCATGTTGACAAAATATGACTACGACGATGAAGCAAAGAACATGGCGCATTATGGCCAGAAAACCGCTCCAGCGTACAATATGTCGCGCATTCCAAATGATTTTCCGCTCTTTATGAGCTACGGGAAAGAAGATTTGCTTGCGGATGTGAATGATGTGGCGCATCTTTTGGAAATCATTGATCATCATAATAGAAATAATTTGACCGTCCAATTGTTGGGGGATTATGCACATATGGATTTTATAATGGCTGAAAACGCCAGCCAGCTTGTTTATCAGCCTCTCATGGATTTCTTCAATCGTTATTGAGATTTTGTTTGTGACGCTTTCTTACTGCTTCTTGAAGCAACTTTTTAGTTATTTTTTTATACTAGAAAGCTACTTTAAGAAGCAAGTAAGAAAGTCGTCCCAAAAGAAGCATGAATGTCATTTTGGTTTGACATTTTTAGAAGTGCAAATGTAGAAGATGAGCAAAGTTTTTTTTTTTACTGATAAATTTAATAGAAATTTTTTAGGTTATGATTTTTTTTTTTTGAATTGATAAAATTACGGCAAATTTGTCTTTATATGCTACATAATTTTGTAATTGGAGAAATATAGTTGATGTTTGTTTTTTTTGGAGAAATATGCTCGAAAGTTATTATTGGATCAAAATATCCCATATTATTTTTATTGTGTTTAGTACTTCTTTAAAGCCTATCACAATTGATATTGGTTTGAACAATTTTTAAGGTTTTGAACCTTGTTAGATCAACGTTTAAATAAAGCTTGAATAGGGTTTGAATAGGGCAAAGCTTGAACTCCATTTGAATAAGGGTCATATCATGTTTGAGCAGAGTTATAATATTATGTGAAGAGAATTCGAATAGGGCTCAAGCATGATTTGCTTATGGTAGATAGAAAAGAATGTGATCCAATAGCTTTAATTAGGGGTGTCAATTTTTGACACGACCGGAATCCGACCTGGAAAAATCCGAGTTAGGGTCAACCCGGACTCGAAACGGGTCGGGTTTGGGTTAAAAAAATCAACCCGTTTTAAAATCGGGTAGGATTCGAGTTGACCCAGCAACCCGAAATTGACTCGAAAATGATATGAAATTGACATGAAAACTCCTATTTGACCCTGAAACCCAAGATTGACCTGTTTTTGACCCGATTTTGACTCGAAAACTAGCTATTTTAGGTCAACTTCGGGTCATTAGTGTCGGGTTGGGTTGACCCGGACCCAAATTGGGTCGGGTTCGGGTTCGAAAATCTGACCTGTTTTTAAAACGGGTCAGGTTCTGGTTGACCTGAATAGTGTTGGGTCTGTTCCGAGTTCTATCCGAACCCGACCCGTTGACCCGAATTGACACCCCTAACTTTAATACAATATGTTAGAAAATTTATACAATAAATTGCAATCATAATTACTATAGCACAATATATTATAAACTAGACACCGTAGGGTGCAATTTAAGAGTCGTAGCATAACAAAAAGCAATTTTGCAATCATAATAAAATAATGTGTAATTCAATAGCTATAACACAATAGATCCGAATAGAAATTATTGGTCTAGTAATAAATATTTACAATAGAGATAAACAGCCTATATTGGATTAATGAAAATTTGATAAATAATCTTTTTGAATGGATCTATCTTTTAACATTGTTGTAGAATAAATTCACATAAATAATCAATAAAAAATTATATAATATTATGAGTAAGTTTTAAAAAATATTTATGTGAAGTATTGTACCCAACAGAAAAATCGTCCATTACAGGTAAATTTTTCCAACGGAAGTGGGCAATTTTCAGTTGGATTTTTTTTTTCCGCCAGTATAACCGCGTAGGAAAACCAAACTGGCATATTTTTCCTGTCGAAAATAATTTTTTGGCAATTTTTAAGTTGTGATCGTGGTGGCGGTTAGAGCGGCGGCTTACGTAGAAAAGCCGTCAGAGATTTCCAGTGGTTTACCGGCGGCGATAACCGTCACTATTTTATGGCGGTTTGTCTATTGTTCCAGCGGCTTACGATATCTTCCGATATAAAAAAAAATGATAGACTCTCCTCTATCCACACACATTTTCACATTTCATACTTGCAGCAGTTGAATAATATAAAAAATATAAAATGCACTAACACAATATTTACAATCAACACATACTAAAACAGTGGAAAACATAAAATTCAAAATAAACAAACTTTCAAACATAATAAAATATAAAGTTCAACATTAACAACCTTTAAAACATAAAATTCAATTACAAGAAAGAGTTCACATCAATGATCTCAAACAAAAGCTTGTTCTTCAAACTCTAACAACAACTATAACGTTATCTAATCATCTTCCGTGTCCTCGCTGCCCTGTGATTCGTGCACATGCTTCTGCTCCTTCTAATTTTCAGCTCGATATGATCACAGCTCCTCTTGCATCTCAACCTGAATTTGTTTCATTTCCTCTATTTCTTTTGTTAGAGCAACAACCCTCCAGCTGACAGTTTCTTCAACTTCACTAGCATCTTAAATTGATGACGGTTTCTTCAACTCCACTAGCATCTTAAAAAACTAGCTTTTGCCTCGAGATTCGTGCCCGATTAAGCTAATTTTGTGATGACGTATCAATATATATATATATCGCACCCTATTAAACTAAAAATAATTATTTATATGATGATGTTACTCATTAATACTTTGAATGTTAAGACTTAGGATTTGTTTGGGACATCTTTTTTTGCTGCTTTTTAAAATGATCTTATAGTACAAAAATTTTAATACAAAAATTTCTTGAATTTGAAAATTTTAACTAAAAAATCGTTTTAAAAAGCAGCAAAAAAACTATTCCAACAAAGTCTTAATATAGGCTTATAAAATTAGCAACAACTTCAAATTTTTTTTTTTTAATTTTGTTGCACTCACAATACAAATTTATTTAAAGAATAATTTTATTTTACATATATTTTAAACCCAATTTAAAATAATGCTATTCAACCTAACACACGACAAAAAATAAATTAATTAACATAAATGAAACACACTATAACTAATTATGTTTTCTCTCTTCTATGATTTTCATCTCACCCTTACTATCATATTATATCAAGATAAATTTTGAGCCATGAGTTTCAATTTATTGGTGTAGATATTTTTCTAAAATTTACAAAACAACAATCCTTTCAAGAAAAACATCACATAAAGTGATATAAATATTAAATATTTTAATCATAATACATGTAATTTAAAATTTAATTAGGATCTTGATACATTATAAACTTTTTTTTGATCGGGCACGAATCTCGAGGCAAAATCAAGTTGGAACTTCTGAAATTAAAACTGGGACCATCGAAACTCCGATTTCAGCAAACTTACCGTCGAACTAAACGTCTCGAGAAAACGAACCCAACGACACCAAATTCGACTTAATCAGAGCCCAAATGAGTCCAAATCAAGGATCTGAAGCGCTGTTGGAAGGTTCAAACCACAATTTGGATTACCAAACACTTTCAAATGTGACATGCTTATAATATAATCGAGCGGCTCGACGAAAGAATCAAATGAGCCCAAGATTAAGGAATTCTGACATCATTAAGACCTTCAAATGTCTAACAAGCGGTCCACGATCAAGAGATTCAATGTTGATCGTCCATCCAAACCACTCCCATTTGCCCTTGATCTTTCTCCTATTTACGAGTCATACCACTCTAGGAAATCTATAAATAGACCCCTCCTTTCTCTTAAAAAGGCACCCTTAAGCCTAAGGAAAAAAAAGAGAGATTGCATATTGCTCTTGCCTCCTTGCTTCCTCGACCACTGTCTGGAGTTCCACTGGGCCACAACCTAATGCCTTGAGCTCCGCCGGACCACCACCAGACGTCTTGAGTTCCGTCGGACCACCACCTGACATCTGGAGTTCTGTCAGACCACCACCTGACCCCTTGGAGTTTCGTGGGACCACCACCTGACACCATAAGTTTCGTCGGACCACCACCTGACTCCTTGAGTTCCGTCGGATCACCATTGGACACCCTGGGCTCCGCCGGACCACTACCTGATGCCCTAAGTTCTATCGGACCACCACCTGATGCCCTAAGCTCCGTCAGACCACCACTTAAAGCCCTAAGTTTCGCCGAACCACCACAAGACGCCCTGAGTTCCGTCGGACCACCACCTCACGCCCAGAGTTCTGTCGGATCACCACCTGATGCCAGAGTTCTGTCGGACCAATGTCCGACGCCATAGTTCTTCCAGACCCCATCAAACTACCAACTGACGCCCGAATTTCTAAGTTTTGTCGAACTTCCAATGGACCACCAAGTGACATCAGACTTTCATCCCTATTTGTCACAAGATTTTAACCATACGATTGACACTTCTAATCTGATCACCCTTAGGGATGAGTCGGCCCACTGTAATGCACTCGAATTTTAGTGGAATCATTTTCAACTAGGTAAGGCCCTATGATTTTCCCCTTTCCAGGATTTTCTACGTAAAAAAATTTGTGTTCTCTGTGTGTGAGCTGGATATCCATGCAACACTAAGACATAGGATTATATCTCTATCGCCGCGTATATTCTAGCCCGCAACAGATTTAGTTGAAAAAGATATATATTTTTTTTTAAATTGATTGTGAATATGTTTTAAGAAAAATAGTTTTTAAATTTATTATAGATATTATAAATATTATTTATTAAAATCAAATAATAAATTTTTTATAATCTCATATTTTATAATAAATTTAATAAAAAAATTAGGAGTGTTAAAATGGGTTAAAGGGTCGGGTTCGGGTCCAACCCAAAATTGATCTGACATGAATTCAATTAATCTAAAATCCAACGTGTTTAGTAAATGAGTCAAAAATACTAACTCAAACTAGATCAGCCCGTAAAGCCATTTTTGGCAAATTTATTTTTATACAATATTAATTATAAAGTTTATCATGTTTGATAAAAAAAGAATATCATATCCATAAGTTAAAAAAATTAAGAAAAAAGATATCAAATGAGTCATTTTTTTGATAAAAAAAGAATTTGCTGTTCAATCCGAATCTAACATATTCAATAAATGAATCAACTCTAATATTGATTTTTTCAACTTTATTTAGAATCGATAATTTATGCTTTATTTTAGATATTTTTCGTGCAATTTTTTAAAATAATTTTTTATAAAAAAAATTTCATATTCAAAAATTTTTTCCATCAAAAAGTTATATTAAAAAGTAAGAAAAAAATTATCCCAAATAAAATATTATTGATAAAAAAATGGCTTCTTCTTATAAAAAAAATAAAATTTAATATACAAATAAAAAATATGTGAAATAAAAAAAATAAAACAGTAAATTTGCCTCAAACAAGAACAATTATTAGATCCGGTGACCAGACGTAGCTCTACGTTCGGTCACCACTGAGATCGCGCCACGTGCTCTTACTCTTTATCGCACGGCCCGACGAATTGACCTGGACCGGAACCCGGGAATGCTATGTTCGCGTATTGTTAGGTATTACTCGGTATTTGCTCGGTATTGCTAGGTATTGCTTGACAATAACGAGAAATACCGTTCTGTGAAGACCAATACCGAGCAATACCGAGTAATACCGAGTTTTTCTAGAAAAACTCGGTTGTATTGCTCGGTATTATTCGGTATTTATCTTCACATAATGATATTTCTCGTTATTGCCGAGCAAAATCGACAAATACCTAGCAATACCGGGTTGTCATGGATTTAAAAAATGCACATGCGACATACCCGCTATTCGCCGGATCGGATCCACAGTTTTGTACCTGCTACGTGGTACGATCTCAGTGCTGATTAAATGTAGCTCTACGTCCGTTCACCGGACCAAATAAAAGTTCCCCAAACCAGCCCTGACATAAATGATGATTTTATTCTCCGCATCACATCGGAATAACCACGTTGCATCATCACCCATATGGATAAACATCAAACCCTATGATCCGAATGCCTGCCACATGGGACCGGGCACATCAACAGCGCGGGGCCCACACATCTACGCGGTCGCGACTTTCCCCGCGGATCCCAAAATAAGAATAGCTCCTCACGCGTCTCATCCATAATTTGAATCAACTTCCCTCTCGCGTCCGGTTCGCTCGCTCAACCTGTTTCGTATTCAGAACCCTCACTTGATCCCGCCGCTTTCCATCTCGCGACGCCGAAGACGAACGCACTTTCTTTTTTCATATTTTTTTACTTCCCGAATCTGCGAGCTCTGATGACTTCCTTCGGAAACAATCGCCTGTCTTTCTCCATTCTTGTTCTTCTGCGTTTCTCGAATGTCCTTTTGCAATTCGCTAGGAGCCGGTCGCGATTGAGGTGAGCGGCCGGCGGCGACGCGGATCTCGTGGGAGAGATGCTGAGATCGTGATATCATATTATCGTATTGGTAAGGATTGGGACGGATTTGGCTTGACGACATCCCAGCGACGTGGCGGAGACGAGTGGAATCGCTTAAGCCGCCCTGCCTTGCAAGCTAAGCTATCCCCATTGTTGACCCGTGGAATGGAGTAAAAGCTGGGAAGCGGAGTGTGAGAGAGAGAGAGAGGGAGGCGGGGAGTTTAATTGCCTCTCTCTCTTTCTGTCAATTTACTTCTTGGGTCCCCTGTCGGGATTCTGCGTTGGCGTGGTCGCTTTGTTTGCTAACTCTATCCGTTGCTCTCATCCCGATTCCGTACTTTTTTGGATTGAATTTGGGCTTGAATAGTTTTAATTTGTTAATTGTCGTCAAGACTATGATTGCTCTGCGTTTGTAATGCAATGAGTACCAGCGGCGATCGGCATTTTTTTCCCCTAACAAGTTTGCAAATTGGGTAAGTACGCTTGTGCTAGGTGATTTTCTTTCTTTTCTCCTAACAAGTTGATAGTTCTTATCGGACACTTCGAAACCTTTTGGGATGGGAGTGTTAGATGCAGAAGTTTATCTGACGAAACGACATCGAGATTATTTTCCATAGTTCTTCTTGTCCTTCTTCTTTATAATTTGAATTAAACTAGCTGTATTTGGCTTAATATTCAGCGAACATTAACGAAGGGTCTGACTTTGGGGTATCTTATTGAATCTCATCGGATTTTTTTTCCTGACCTCTGATAGTGCTATTCAGTTGCATTCTGGACATGTTTCTTATTCGTTGATGGTGTTCAGTAACTTGTCCAACATCTGTTTGGGAAAAAATGTTAGTTTTGCGTGCATGCAGAAATAGTGCAGCGAATTTGATCAGTCACAGTGGCATTTACTTAATCGTCATGCTAGGTATCATTGGGATAACCAAAGTTCTGAACTTGCGGAGTCTAATTGATGATGTGAAGTATGTAGGTGCCTTGTGGATGTTCAACTCTAGTGCGACTTGCCTTGCGAATAAAACTAGCAATATCTGTATTTTCTGCCTTTTTGCCCACAAAACTTGCAGTCCCTTATTTGTTTATGCTAAAACTGTAAATGTAAATGCAAGAAGGCGAGTCTATCTGTAAGGTGTTAAGAACTAAACTTTTAATGTAGAATGTTTATGCTAAAATTTAGAAACTCAGTTTATGTCACTATTTCGAATAAACCTATAAGTTGAATGATTTCCTTAGGAAAAATTTTACTTGTGTTACAGTAAAACTTGCATATTTTATGGGGTAAATAATGATATTAAATTCTCTTGTAGCAGAAGATTCAATTGATATTTAGGTATATGGTGGAACATAGTCACTGAAGCATTTTTTAAACATATCCTGAACGAGATAGCATCTATATTTTCAGTGATACTCAAATGTTTTGAACTTTGAGACAATTTTCCCTTGAATTTTGTTGCTTTGTCATTCATCTTAAGATGGAATATATTGCATTTTTTTTTTCAAAACAGACCTTTGAATACACCAATGCATGTGATGGGCAGTTTTTTTTTTTTTTACATCTATGAAAAACTCTTTTTTTGCCGATTAAGAATAATATTGCTGAAAATTTAAATTCATTATATTTTTAATATTTGGAGGTTTTCTTCTTGTTAGTTTCTTCAAAATTCTGAGTAAAAAAATTCCTCTTCCCTTGATATGTTGTTTGACTATAATCAAGTTTGGATCAAATTTAGGGAGCCAGGTTTGGCTTGACTTGATATTGAAACAAATAAATTTGAGAGGATCTTGATTTAAGGTTAGATCAATTTGAGATTGGTTATTGGCAGCTGTAGCATTGATATATTTTTTGTTTAATGTTAGCCTGGTAGGGAAAATAGGCATTGCCTGCGTTTACACTAGCACAACAGTTGTTTTGTTTAAACCATTTCTAGCTATACAAATGAGCTCTTTTATGATGGTTTGTGTTAGAGTATGAAATTAATTGCTGGTTCTTTTGGAGCTTAAGCATTTTGGTTGGATATTTACCCATTTTTAACACAGTAGCCCTTGGTGATTTCTCTTCATTTAGTTTTGAATTTTTTTTTTGCTTTCGTACTTTTGCATTGTCATGTTCTGACGATTTCTCTGCACTGTGATCTTGAAAATTTTCTGTATCAAACTTGTGTGATGCGTTTTGATCTTTTTTTTTTCCATTGACATTCTAGGATTATTCAGATTGGTGATGGAATTATCTTGACTTTTTCATTTATTTAAGTATGTGAAATCAAGTTGATGCGGTATCAGCCTTCTAAGGTTTAGGAATGAGTTTAATCTTTCACTTTTTTTTTTCTGATGGGTGGAGTACATATGCCCATTTGAAGCATCAGTGGGAAACTAGAAACACACATGCATGACATGTAGTAGGCTTGTGATCAAGGTTGAGTAATGAAAGTACAGAGCCTTTGATCTCTACCAAGAAAATGCATAAGCTTTGAAGCATAACACATATACTTCCAGAAATCAATTTTGCATTTTTAGTCAAATGATATAATGCTGCATAATTGTTAACAAAACCTAATAACTTTTCAAAATTTCAAAAATTATTTTTTGGCGAAGTCAATGTTTTAAAATTTTAAAGGCACAGACAGTTAACATACGGCAGGAGCATTTTACCTTTCAATGGTGGTGCAAGCCTTTTGACATGGGGCATAAGCCCTATAAAGTTTTTATATTAAATATTTCATATATTAAAATATGATGAAAAATCAGATTTAAGGAAAAATATTCAAAGGAATTCGAAAATTTAATGTCCTTGATCATTTCGTTCATAATATACCTCCAATATCTAATATCTAATAAAACTTTTCGCCCTTTTCACTGGGATTGAAGTTTTAAATTTTGGAGGATGGGCGATTCTTAAGCCTCATTCTACTTAACCAAGCTTGGTAAAATGTCTAATTATTTTTGCCTTTATTTTGTTGTTCATGCAGGGATATGCAGTCTTATCTTTCTACCTTGACTCTCTTTTTGGCTCCTGAAAGCAACAAATTTTTTGTCCTGGTTGACAACAGACCATGGTTGATTGACCAAGACAAGAGAACTGCTTACCTATGGCAACTGATGGTCACCAAGGTTGTTCATTTGATTTCTTTCAAGAGTTTTATTTTGGATGTTATATTTTAGTTAAGACGTCTTCTTTTCAGTCAAGGCTCTCACCCTTTGCAAACACAAGGTTGAAGAGGGAGCAAAAAATTAGTGGAAGGAAGCTTGATTTTGCAAACAGCCATAGATCCAATCCCATCAAGCTCAGGAAATTAAATAAGTGGTTCACAGTGATTGATGCAGCAACATGTCAAAAGAGAGTGCTACTCCCTGTAAAGAAACTTAAGGAGTCTTTCTTCTTGAATAAAGAGCTTCATCGTATCTTATATGGTTTTATCATCTTTGAGGTTGCGTGGAATCATGTGCGTGGTATTAATTATCTAAATGAGCTTCAGGTATTTGTGTTCCTTTATAATTTTGTTTCCATAGAAATTTAATCTGCTGTTTATTGCTTTCAAAGCTCTTCCTTTTAACATTTTTTTTCATATCTTTCTAGACTGATACTTGTATGGCATTGGAGGTTAAGCTAATGAAAAGATGGGAATTTGATAGCATTGAGCAAGCTTTAAACTGCATATCTTCATGGTATTCAGGAACTAACCATGAAAGAGCTATATTACATAACTATTTGGCTGATATTGGTATGTTCGGCAACACATCTTTCCAATTAAATGGATTTTTGCTGAAGTAATATATTTATTTCTACAGGGGATGTATTTTATGATGTACAGGAAGATATATCATCTTTGTCCTTCCATAATTTAAGTGATGATGAAAGTCAAGAAGATAAACTTTCCTGTTATGTGGGTTCTACTTCTCTTGATATTGATGCCTCAACCAGCTATACTTATATCCCACCAACTTGTGGGCCTTATAAAAAGAGAAAGATCATGAAAGTAAGTGCTGAAGTTGATGAAGCGATTGAGGTGTATGGTGAAGTTATTTGCTGTTCAAGGTCTGCATTACAACCTCACAGCCCCAACTATGATAATGCGGGGTTAAATTTTGAGCCAACCACATACAAGGATGGCTTGGTTCTTTTCAAATTTAATGATCATGATCTTCCATTTAAGTTGAAAGATATAATAATGTCAGATTTAAGGCTTCTTACGCTACTGGAGTATGGGCTTCCTTCTTGGGTGATTTTCTTCCAGTCATACCCAGTTTTCAGCCAAATATACCGCCCATGGATGTGTCCCCTTGCTAGAGCTTTGTACGTCATTATTTCTGTAGTGACTGTTGTTATTGGATTCTATGACCTATATAAGAATGTTCCACTGTTGAAGGCAACTGCATCTGGCTTGTTTGGGCCTTTGTTTGACTGGATAGAGTCGTGGGAAATGATTTCCAGGCTTAAGTATTTGGGAACCATGTTATTTCTTCATAACTTTGAGAAAGCCATAAAATGGTTTCTTATGGCCACTAGAGCAGTTAGATCTTTTGTTTCAATTTTAACCCGGCCAGTTGCTGCACCACTAATGGAGCTCTGGGAATTAGTCATTCCCATCTGGAATATATGCTTTGAAACTATAGAAAATCTTGGCTCAGTTGTGTGGGTTTTATTGGAGTCTTCATACACCGTGGTTTTGGGCTTGCTGCAAATGTTACTGTGGCCTTTCTGGCTCCTCTGTAGCACCATATCAAGTTTTGGTATGATTTTAGCTAATTGGATCCTTTCATCTTTTACCTTAACTTTCTGTTTTTTTTCTCCCCTTTCCTCATTTCTAATTTATTATTACCTTATTTACTATTGTAGCTACTTTGATCATATGTCCTATACTTTGGACCTTTTGGGAGATCTTCATAGCTCCTGTTCGTTTGGTTTCTGCAATGGTCAATTTCGTAGTGATGGTTTTTTGCAATCTCTATTTTGTCATGAGAGACACCTGGTCATCTATAAGTGCTTTATTCCAGTTTACACCTACATTCCAAGCAACAGAAGTTGCCTCTGAAGCTTCAATGTGGCGATCACTTTGGAATGACCTTTTCTCTCAGGTTTGTTGGGTTTCATTTTGGCAACTATTTGATATTGTCCCCATTCCTTATTATTGAGATCTGATCTTAGTTTCAGAATTGTTGTTACTCCAGGTTTTTCGTGCACTTCGCAGCATCTTATATGGCTTTGTTGCTTTCTTTACAACCTGCAATAGGCATCGGTTGAGGTATAACTTCTCCAATACATATGTTATTGTTTGGATAAGGGCCACCATTCCATATTTTATAGGATAGATGATTTTGATGATGCAGTACGTCTTGGAGTCCGAAATTGCTAATGTAACCAAATGAGACAATGAGTAATTCAAGCAGCAAAGATTTAGGATTCATAGTTTAAAGACCATATGTTAAAACAACCACACGCTTTCTTTTAATGCAAGCTAGAAAGCAGAAAAAATCTGTTCTAAAAAAAATTATTCAATGCTCGTCCAATTCAAAGAAATTCTGCGAGAATTTTGAAACTATAAAAACACACTTTGATTAAGAATCATATCATAATTGAAAATTTCAGTTGTAGCAGTTTTGAAAAAGATTAATCACGCTTTCAAAATCAATCATGGTCTTGAAGACAAAAAAGTTCAAGGTAAGAAATCACCAAATAAAGAAGTCTGACCTTGCGCTGGTGTCAGGAGAAGACTACCTCCAAAAATAAATATTTGCACTTGCATCACACTTAAAGATTTAGCACACATTAAAGCACAAAACCAAGGGAGACTCAAAATTTTATCAAGCCAAAATCTGAATATTATATGCCTTGGGTTTTGTATTTCTAAACATCTAATCCCCTAATCAAAGTTGACCTCCATATAAATATTGAATCACAGTTTAAAACTCGTAAGAAGTTCATGGGGATAAGGCACGATAACAACAATAAAGGATAATATGGGTGGGCAAAAGATACTCATCAAAAGAAAACATCACTTTAAGGAGTTGCTACTATAGGATCCTAATTAGTAGTTCTGCTAAAGGGATTACAATCATTGAAAGTTGTTTGGAATGGGAATTGGAAATACCTTTTGTGTGGAATTGGAATTGGAAATACCTTTCTTGCCTGGGAAATAGTCCTTTAGCAAATAAACACAAACAATGATTTGAAAACAATTTATGCTTCTTAATTCTAATTGCATGAAGATACGTGTAAACGAAATCATGCATCATGCATGCTTGCACAATGTAGCTTACTTTAGGCATATTTTATCTGTTTTTCTTAGCAGCTTAGGTCTGAGAGTCAGACGTCCACTGAGGAAAAGAAGTTTAATGAAACATTTTTTATGATAAATTTCTACTCTCTAATCATATGAACTTTTCAAGAAGATTTATTAGTATCAAATTTGATTTGATTGAACTGCATTGTTTTCTAGTTCAACTTCAAATTATACTCATCAATCTAGTCATGATTAGAGGTGTTTTTATCATCTCTAGAGCAAGGTTTTGCATTTTTCTTGTGTTAAGAGTCATATTTGTTCGTTGTTAGACTCGTCGTGGTTGGAGTGGATCTTAATAACGTTGAATGGCCTCACTGAAAATCCTAAATGTATTTGGAATTTGAGCATAGAGCAATAATTGAACGAGTGAGTCTTAGTAACATAAAATTGGTAAATCGGAATACTTGATTTGTTTTTAAATGATTATCTTCTGCATTAGAGACACAAACAGAGAGGAGTTATCTGCTTGTTCCTTAGCAATTTTGGTTGAAGAACTTGGTTAGTTTTCATATTATGATTAAAATTATTGAAGCTATTCATTTTCATAGATTCTGAAGGATTGTTTGTTTTCCTAAAAGTTACTTTTTTATTTTTACTTATTTTGTGCTGCTTATCCTGGTTTTCATCTTCATAATTCAATATGTTTAGTGTTTTAAGACAGCCATATCATTTCCTACTTTGCAAATTCTCATAAATATGAGTCTTGTTATACTGTAAAACCTGTAGACTGACACTCCTTCTTTTCCAATTGTATTGTTGAGTGCAGCATATACAATCATTTTCAAGAGCTTCTTGTGCACTTTTCTAACGTTAGAAATGCTAAGTTGGCCCATGCCTGGAAGAAGAGTTTGGATGAAAATCATGTAAGTTAATTTATATATTTTAGTGGTTTATGATGATTTTCTTTATGTATCTGTTCATCCTATTCTGCTTCCATTATTCGATTGTATGTCATATTTTCTCTTCATGTTTATCATTCAGAGAAGTCCTCTTTAACTAGAACTTACTGTTACACCAGGAAGATGAAAGAGTGTTCAGTTTTTAGCTGAATCATTGATCCTGCTGTGTCTTATTAAACATCTTTAGGTGTACTCGAGCATTCTAACGAAAAGAAAGGTCTGCAGTAATTGAAATAGATTTAGACCAGTGTTTTTACAACTTCATAAAATATAGGTTTCTTCAAACAGGACCATTTTTCCTCCAATCCTGACTCAGCTATTCATAGCTCCCTGCTTCTCTCTGCTTTGGACTGCTAGTAATATGTATTTGTTTGTATTATGGTTAATAAGCATCATTGTTGTGAGCACATCTAATTCACTTGAAATATCTGTGATCGCCATGAAATTCATGCATGTGTTTCGAAAAAACATGCAATAGTATCAAAGTCAAAATATCCTCCTATGCTCCAAAAAATGTGTTAAATGGCTATAAACGAATTCTAAGAATATTGCAAGGAATAAAAATAAGATGAAATTTGAATATACCCCATTTCAAGAGTTGTGCAAACTTTTTTTAAGTGAGAAACTATTTCACACAATGTTTTCAAGCACGCTGCACTACTCATAAGATTATCATGAGTCCCATTTTTGAAGAACTATTATTCTCCATATTTCATAGATCTGAGTTGACAAGATTTCTAACTCTCGATAAATTATTGCAGCACTAATTGAAACAAAATTTTCTAACCGAGTAATTTTGCAATCAAATGTCTGGTTTCCTTACTCAAATTCTTCCTTATAAATGCAACTGCAATTGTTAATCTTAAATTCGATCCCTCAAGCAACTTATTAACAGAGTTGACAATGTCGAAAACATCAAAATGAAGGCATTCAAAACTTCGATGATAATCATGTTGACATAAAATCTCAAATGAAGGAAAATTTGATTTTAAAGTACCCCCAAATTTTAAAGCTAGTTATATGAGGCTTAAATATTATTAAAGTTAAAAAATCCACAAAAATTCAAAATATTTCAAGTGAAATCAATTATGTTCTTGGAAGGGTGTGAGCCGACAATTTAGGACCTTGTTTTTTCAAATTTAACGAGTAGTGTGTTTAGAGAGGTGCTCTTTTTAGAAGCAGAAGCTGAGCTCACCATAAATCCATTAGTTTGTAGATTTTGTTGAGATTATGGTAGTTGCCAAAAAATTTCAATTTGCATTTCACTGAATGGACTTAGGTTGGATAATGTTGGAGCCTTAGTGGTGACTGTGTTGCCATGCATTTCATGGTTTCATATTGTTATTGATTGTAGTCTAAGTGTTCTCAGTGTATCTTTCAGTAGCAGTTGGCACAAGTGTGTCCAATTTAGGGTATTTTCCTTGTATCTTTTAGTAGTTGTCACGAGCTTGCCTAGTCTTGTGATAATGATTGCACCATAATTTGATCTTCTTAGCTCTATCACCATTATAGTTGAATTGGGCTCCATGAGCTGCAAGGATATAGCTGTCGCTGTTAGAGTTTTTAACATTGTTAGGCACCCTCAACATTATCTTTCTCTTGCTTTCTTCTCTTTGAACATCAAAGAAGGCTTCACGAATACTGGATAGAGGCTTCATGCTTAAAATTCTCCCACAAACATTATCTAAAATTTTATTTAGGCCAAATAAGAACTTTAACGCTAGTTTTTGTTCCTTTATATTCCAATATTGTTATCTTTTGGGCGCCTCATTTCTATTTTATTAAAGATGTCTAGTTGTTACCAATTGAAAGTTAAAGAGTTGAAAAAGGCCATAGATGATACTCTTTACCTCGAAAATGGCTGAGGTATTCTCAACATTAGTATGTATATTGTGCCACTTCCTAAATTTAACTTGGTTGTTATATATATATATATGAAATATTCTCCAATTTCATTTGTCATGAAATTTATCAGCCATGACATTGCCATCAGAGCCCTACATGGGGTCCTGATTGGGTACCCATTGGGTATCCATGCTCTGCGCTGGCGAGCATTGTCCACCCAAGCCCATCTATGGTGACTTTCACGATGTCATACCCACCCACTTTCCGCGCTTCTTGAATGCAGTCTGCCATGGATTAATGGCCTTGAGGTTTATTTGCCATTTTCTTTGACTGCAAACTTTCAAGCCACATATCAAAATTTATTGTGGTCACGGCATGCTTCGGTGCTGCACACTGCGGAGTAAGGATTATTCTGATATACTGGATGCATATGGTGATTAGTAATGTAAATCGGTTTGTCTCATGATGTTGAGTACCCACGCATACCCACTCGTGGCGTACCCATACACATCCATGCCCATTGGGTATGGGTGGGTGGGTGTGAGTATGTGTACCCAATATAGGGCTCTGATTGCCGTACTATTTTTGGCCTTCTATAATCAAAAGTTCACGCCTCTTTCATTGGACGTGTGAGATACTCCTATTAGATTATCCTTACTTTTTCCAAAGACAAATATCACTGATCATTAGATGAAGTTTTGCCCTGTAAGCTTGTGATCAGTGACAAGATGAACAAAAGTCTATGATTGAGTGATGTTGATTGGAGTAGATAGATTCGGACTAGATTTCATCTCAGAGCAGGTGCTTCTTTAGTTGCCAGCCATGAGGGATGAAGCGGAGAAATTAGTAGGAAAAATAAGATTCACAACCCTATTCTTATCTAACAATCAGCTTCTTGATGCATTATGAATATGAAACTTAGGCTTCATTTTGGACAGTTTTTTTATTGCTTCTTAAAGCAAATTTTTATACTAAAAAACTATACTAAAAAGCTGCTTTAAGAAACAATAAAAAATCATTCCAAACGAAACCTTAACTAAAATTCAATTTAGATATCTCTCTCTCTCTTACATCACTCAGTTGTGTTTGTTTATTTTATCATCTTAAGTTTGTCTTGTTGCAGAAAGATGGAAGCAGCAAGTCTACAGCAAAGTAAGTTCTTGAACCAGTCTAATTTCAATTATTCTGGAAACTAGAAATGTACAAAACATCATGTAAATCTGAATGACTGCAGGCAGAGCTTACGACCTAAAGAGAAGTCCTATAGGAGGAGAAGCACCATTAAGCAAAGAGATATGAGATGAGAAAATCCACAACACAACCAAAACACACCCACATTACTTTTTTTTTTCTTTTTTCTCAGTAATTTAGCATTTATGTGCTGTAAATATGTGTAATTAAGATTATATTATTTTTTAAAGTTTTTTTTTTAAATTCATTTTTAAGCTTTAGCTGCAAGGCAACAATAATTTCATCCTTTTGACGTGTTTAACGATGGAAAGCTATTAAATAATAATAATAATAATAATAATAAACGATGGAAAAGCTTTATTTTACTGTATATTTTTTAACCCAAAAAATTTTTCTTTTTAAGGAACGTGGAGGTATTATGTGGCATATGCATATCATGCATTCTTATTCTTGTAATGACGGGATTTATTTATTTATCCGAATACTTTTATAGCATTACTTTATATTACTTAATGTCCAATTCGTGGCTATGTTTGTGTAATGTTTTGCATAAAATTAAGAAGGCTAATATTTTATACTTTCATGATATATATAAATTTGAGATTTTATAAATATGTTGTTTTGGGTGGGCAATTGTTTTTGTTATAATTATCAAAATAGACATTCGTTTTGACTCTTATCATTATGAATAATAAAATTGTTTTAAGTCATTCTTATAGCTTGCTTGATTTTAAGAAAGAAATTTTAGGAAAATATGTTAAATTCAATAGAGATTGCATGAAAATAGTTTTTTTTGTTAAATATTGCTGCTTTATTTTGGGCTGGCACTTATAAGGTGGTGAGTATAAACTTGCAAATCAAATTGAAATGTATTATGCGCCCATTAAAACAGCGTGTTAAATTACAACTTCCGAAGCAGTCAAATAATATGAATCAAGAAAATTATCAATTTTAATTTTTTTTTTTTAGTTTGTGAGATTATAACATCATTTACCTAATTAAAAAATATCCGTATTTCTATAAATATAAAAAATGCAGATTCTGTGCTGCTCTATATAAAAGAATAAAAAACGGGTCATGGAGCAGCAGCGAGAACAACAAGCCATGGAATCAAATTAATGCTCTTTACTTTTAAAAGTATTTAAATCATTTAATTTATTTTAAAATTAACAATTTATAAATTTTAATTGATTTCTTGTATTATATTAATCCAAATTTAATAAATATGTTCGGATATAATATTTTTTCAATGATGACAACCGTTTAAAATTTCAATGATTTTTTCCTTCATGAAAAACTCAGGAGGGCAATTACTTCATAGATCTATTTTTAATAAATACATGTCTAAAACAAAAAAAAATTATATACATCTCAATTTTATTGCCCCAAAAAAAAAAAAAAAAAAAAGAAGGATGAAGAAGCTATTTCCACACTTGATAAGAACAAAAACTAAATACAATCATAATAGCTATACAGGTAGTAGGAAAAGGATACCCGGCCATATTTGAAAAGAACTCGATTGAACAAACTATTCCTAATCGCATTGTAATCGAATCCAGCAAAGTCAACTTGAATCCTGCCAAGCAAAACCATTTGAATCTAGTGAAGAAGAAGCAACGGAGAATCTCTAGAAAACAAGTCTGGCAAATCTCCGCATGAAAAAATGACAAGAACAAAACTAGAGAAATGGGACGGCAACCCAAAGTTCAAGCAACAAAGATCAGGCAAAAGTAAAAAACAGCATGCCAAAATTCATCAAAAATTAATATAGTTCTGTAAATATTCATTCAAATCATCACTCCGAAATTTTCATAATCTCCATTTAGATGGAAAGCAACAAAAAATTTCTCTTAGGAGGGCTATTCCGTATTTCATTCCTAAGTTACTGCCTTAGCAGATGTTTGTACTATGAATATATTACCTAGTTATATGGTTTGCAGTTCTAATAATAAGAGCTTAATACTATGATTACTTCAACTAAGTTGGGAAAAAAATCTAAACTGCAACAGCAATAAAAGATTGCGAGAACCAGAAAATATCTGCCAAAGAAAGTTAGAAATAGGGTACAGAAATATAAGTGATTCTGAAAATGATCACCTAAATTCATGATCACACAAAGCGATTAGTGTTCCTCCATATAAAAAACAAATACAAAATATAACACTCAATATTCTCTTTCCCATGTTCTCTTTCTTCTATCTTCTCTTTCTATTTTTTTGTTATTTTTATTCTTCTCACATTATTTCCAATGATTTATTATTATTATTATTATTGTTCTTATAGTTATTATATCTACACGCACAATGAAAAAAAATTCAATCACTCAATGTTTATCTCCCAAAAGCAACTCAACCCAAGAAAGATCCCTCCAATTCTAGATTTTCTACAGTAACCAATTTTGACCATTGTTGCCAACAACCTTTTAGTCAATCAACCTCAATCTCCCCTCGATTGATAACGCCTAGAAAGAAGACTAACCCTAGATAAATATCAAAACTCAAGCCGAGCTTCAACAATATCGAGCTTGCCACCAACACCCACCACCGGCCCTGCTAGCTTCTGATTGATGGTTGCCACCACATAAGAATAAACTCGAGAAAAATATCTCATAATAAGCTTCTACTGGATTGTACTTTTTTTTTGGGGTTAGTGGGTTGGTTTAAATAGGGAAATGAGTGGAGATAAGGGTTCCACCTCACTAAAAACAATTACAAAAACTTTTCTACCGGTTTAGTTTTTCAACCCATTTTTCTTTCTTTATTCTTTCATGAAAAACACCTCAAAATAGATTAAAGGTATATATAAACCAATCACTCATTGTTTAACTTCTAAAAGCAACCTAGCTTGTGAAAATCTCTCCAACATGATCATGAAAGCTTCCTCTAAAGATTTCTCATTGACACCCTTGACCACTATCACCAATGAACTTTGTATCAATCAATTGCGATCGTCCACCATCAACAGTACCGCACAGCTAGTCTAACATCAAATGGATCTAGCCATCTAGGTAACCTGAGCCAAGCCTTGACAGCCTTAAGTCTGCCACCAACACGAACCAGCACTGAGAAAAACAACAGCTCGTTATCAGCTTCTATGGGATTGCTTTTTATTTCTCTGTGATAGGTAAAGTGGAACAATGGGAAGAATCGAGTTGGATTTGCCAAAAAAAAAAAAAAAAGAGATAATTTTTTTCAAAGGGGGATAAGATTTGATAGCCCAAAATATTGAAAAACTGAACCCAAATCTTCAACTAGATTGAGCCACACATTATGAGGTAATTAATCTTCACGATTCAACCATTAGTTTTCAAAATTTTCATTGCACAAACAATTCTAGAAAAGATAGGAGAGCACAAATTGGCAAATATGGATCGAAACAATCACCTAGTTAGGCCTTAGCATGATTAGCTAACATCTGCTGCTAAGTTATAGATGACAAACGTAGCAGCAATTAAAGCATGAATGATAAACATGAATGCGTGTTATTTACGATTAATCATAGTGCAAAAAAAAAGAAAAATGAAGTGTAATAGAAATCGGTGATGAACATGGATAAAGAGAATGCAGAAACAGGAGCAAATGTGCAACATTAACAGGGAACCGTTACAAAAGAAGAAACGATAAAAGTGCAGACAATGAAAATTATTGATCGAAACAATCACCTTGTTTTGCCCTTTGCATGCGTAGCTAATCTCCACGCCCAGGAAGCTGTAGAGTTCCTCCATAGGTTTCATTAACAGAAATCTAGTAGAAATAGAAGTAACAATGATAAACAATCATAGAAGTGCATTAGGTTCCTATGTTGGAAATGAAAAGACAATTGAGGAAGGCAAAAGTACAGGTAACATCTCTGATGTCCAAATAGTAAAAAAATAGAATTACAAGGAACGTGACTAAGTATTGCAACGCATCAAACAAACTCAGCTGATACAATCGAATCAATCTAAACATGCAAAAACAAAACAAAGCCCACAAACTCACCTAGCATAGTTATGTTAATTTAGAAACCTGGCGCTATGACTTTTTATTTACTGCTTTATGGCGAATTCAGAAGATGTCTGAAACACTAAATATCATCATCAACAACAACAACAATAAAATCAAGCCTTTATCCTACTATGTCGGATTGACTACATGAATCATTTTTCTCTATTGTGTCCTGTTAAAGTTCAAATTTTCATTTAAATCTAATAAAAGAAATGTCATTTCTAATATCTCTTTACCAAATCTTTTTAGGTGTATCTCTACCTTCTTAACATAAGCCAAATCTAACACATCTATCCTAACTGGGTCATCAAAAGGCCGTAATTTTATATGACCAAACCATCTAAGGCGATCTCTAAACTGGAGCTACACCAACTTTTTCACGTAAATGCTCGTTCCATATCCTATCTCCAAGAGTAAAGTCACTCATCCACCTCACATCCTCATCTCTGCAACACTTAACTTAATAAAATGCTTCCTTTTAATGGCCAACATTTTGAACAATAAAGCATTGCAAGTCTCACCACCATCTTATAGAATTTTCCCTTAAGTTTGAGGGAGACTTTTCTATGACATAACAAGCCCGATGCATTCCTCCACTTCAACCATCCAACTTGAATTCCACTAATAATATCCTCATCTATTTAACCATCACTCTGAATAATAGACTCAAGATATCTAAAACATGTACTCTCTTTAATGACTTGATCGTCCAAAGTCACAATTCACAATCCCCCCACTAGATCTATTACTACTAAAATTACACTCCATATATTTGGTTTTAGATCTAATCAAACGAAAACCTTTAGACTCTAAGGTTGACCTCCATAATTCAGGTTTACCTTCAACTCCCTCTCTAATCTTATCAACAAGAAGAATATCATCAGCAAAAAGCATACACCATGGTACAACCTCTTGCAAATCTCTAGTGAGAACATCCATTGACTAAAGCAAAAAGATATGGGCTTAAGGCTGATCCTTTATATAATACAACAGAAATAGAAAAATACTTGGTTAACCCACCTTATTTTAAAACATGACTAACAAACTCTGCATACATAACCTTAATAACTAAACACTAAATATCACCACAAATTTATATTAAAAAAAATTAAGAAAATTGATGACTATAAAATATAAAATATAACAAAATAAAAATGCATCATTAGGTGAATCCTTCAACAGTGGCAGTGGAATATCTACCTTTCTCAACCATTTCATTCTTGATTTCATACAAATAACTTGATGTAAACCATATCACAAATTTTCAACCTCAAAAACATTTTTTGATTAAGCCCAGGGTGAAAGAGAGGGGAAAAAAGAATAATTCAATCAAACACATAACTTGAATCATGGGCGGATGTACAGTAGGGACACTAGGGGGCTGGTACCCTCACTGGCCCAGCTAAAAATAATTTATTAAAAGAAATTCTTTTATAAAATTTCTCAACCTACCAAAAGCTGCAACAAGCATCGTTTGAGGGGTAGTGCAAAAATGTTTTGTGCAGCTTGTGAAGTATTAATGACGTAGGTAGTAAAATATGAGAATGAGGATAGAGAGAGAGAGATGGGTAAGTGGTTATCTATAGGATATATTTTGATTAAAAATATTTTCTTTGATTTGATTTTTTATTTCTTATTTTTACAATAATAATAATAATAATTGATATTAATAAAAATATTTATATAAAATATTAATATCATAATAATCAAATATAGAAAATAGTAAGATTTTTTATTAATATAAAAAATTTTAATATCAAATAATTATAATTTTTAATAATTAATCTCAGCTATTAATTATTTGAAGTATTAAAAAAAGAAAATCTGATCGTTATAAATAGATTTTGAAAATAAGTTTTTAATAATTATCATTATTTTTCAACAGAATAATTAACTACAAGTCCCTCAAAGCAGTATCATTTTTTTAATGAGAAAATTGAGTGTACATTTAACATAGTAAATTTGTTTTCCCACCAACAAAATTTTTTTCATCTACCCTGCTTCAAGGAACCTTCAAGTGACTCCACAAGTAGCTAAAATTCATCAATAATCATTAAAGAAGAAAAAGAATTTAGAAAGCTAAAAATATTCAACTGCAATCATTAGGCCTTTATTTTGAAAGTTTGTTTTACAACTTTATCTTATATGCAAACTAAAACCATATTTCATGATCCATAAATGTTGGATCTTATCTAGTTAATTGCAGTGCATCAATATCACCAAATTAATGTTTAAAGCAACTAACTCATAAAAAAACGTTGCATATTGATGACTAAAATGCATGGACAAGATTACCAATCAAAAGGGCATTTGTTCAGTTCACCACCGGAGATCCATAATAGGATTAAAAAAATGCTTTAGAGGGTCACAGTATCTCAGAGCTGCGATAATCCTATACCTCTCAATTGCAATGGGTTGTGGCGAATTTCTCAGGTAGACTAAACAAGGATTCTTTCAAAAATAAATGTGCAGAATTCTTTTCTGGTAAACTTGCAACATTTTGTCAAATGGACATCTATGGAGAGGAAAACGTTTGTACGATACAAAAGCAGATTGAAGGAATTTGAAGTGAAAAACTGAATTGTGTGTAACATGAATACCTGAAGATTTGCGCATGCTTGACAAAAATGGAAATAAAAGCAACAATAAAGGATATATAGATCAACAAACAAATAAAACTATCATAAATTGCAAGGATGGTCATCATATCAAAATATATTGCAAAAACATATGGCATCGAATACAACAACGTATATACTTGCACAGAGAAAGGAATAAAGTCGCAGATTTATCCCCTACTGCTGTTTTCAAGAAGATGGAGAGTGGTTGGAAAAAGGCTATACATACTTGCTAGTAATACTATTGGAAGATGGAGAAAAGACAAGGCAGATATTATATTTGGAAGCTTGCTTGCACACCTAAAACTCTAGTCTCATCCTTGACCAAGTCTTGAAACTTTGGTTTGGTTTCCGCCAATGCTTACATGATGGCATCATTTTCCAGTTTTTGCATAACCAGACACGACTTGGCTAGACCAGAATTAATTAAAACTAAAACTAAAATATCCAAATCAATTTTTATATAAGCGTATTAAACTTGTAAAAAAGCCTCTTAAAAAACTACATAAATAATCGCTAATAAAACTAAAGACAAATTAGAACAGAAAAAAACTTGTAAACATACGCCAAAACTATTTCAAATTCAGCTAATGTCCTAGCCTTTGGTTACCCCACATACTGGCCTTCAATGTATTTTACTTAGCATGATTTTACAACAAAACTAAGTTTTCTTGGCTATATGAGACCTTTCCTCTCGTTGAAACGGCCCTTAAGGGTAGAATGCTTTAAATCATTGAAAGGATATATAAACTTGATAATTTCATTCTTGCAATTGTCATTTCCACTTAAAAGAATTATAGAAAATGAACAACATTTAATCTCTGCAATCAATCTTCAAGAAGCTTGTGTATCAAGTCTGACCTTCAACGATAGCATATGAATTTCATTAATTGGGGGGGGGGGGGGTATATAAAAAATTTATCATTTTATGTTTACGCAATCTTTTGATTTTGTAGGTTACGCCTCAAAACGCCTTAAAGCTTACGCCTCGCCTCACGAATGAAAAACGCCTCAATACCCGAATACGCAATTTTAAACATTGGTTGATAATCCCTCTTGTAACCCTCCTTTTCAGGAATCAGCAAAAATAAAATTACACCATGAGATGTGGCTCTTTTGGATTCCTAGAATTTGTCTTCTTTCAAAACTTGTATACCCTGCTAAGAATTAACCTTCACGTCACATGTTCATCATGATGGCCAAAATTTTTTACAACAAGAAGCTTTTATCCTACTACGTGGTTGGCTAAGTGAATCTTTTTTCTCCATTTTATCTACTTAAGAGTCAAATTCTCATTTAAATCTAATAAAAAATATCCATTTTTAATATTTTCTAGCCAAATTAATTTAGATCTACCTCCATCTTTCTAGCGATGGCCAAAATTATTATACAAAAAAAAGTCCCAACCCTGTAGATATATTCCTGATCTTCTAGATGAAAAACTTTTTTTTATAACCTGATTATTGAAAAGGAAGCCAATAGACCCATTCCCTAGACTTGTACATTACCTCAAATCTATCTTTCTGAAATTTGTCATCTCTTCAGTTCCCATCTTAATGTTGAATAAAAACAACTTCACGATTTTTTGGAGACAACTTAATAAACTAAATTATTCTCCATGGATCTTTAATTTAGAAAGGCTGATGATTTTGAAAAGGCCAAAACCCATCAAAGCTTCGCAATTCAAAAAACTGTTAGAGTGTAGGCAAGGCCTATTTGGAGAGGTTGAGTTTGATCTGTCATATTTTATTTCAAAGCGAGCATCCATTAATGATGAAGCCTCTATCATTGGTAAAATTTCATCTCTTCCTTCTATAACCCCGGGCTTTTTTTACAATTAATGCAGCATAAATAGAGAAAAAAGTTTTAGACAAAGATAAGAATTCAAAACATTCTAGCTCTCCCAGCTATATCTAGAAAATAGATTGATTTTCAAATATTTTGATTTGATTAAATGAATTTTCAGCATACATGATTTAACCCAAATTAATTAAAAACTAACCAAGATGGATTGGACCAACGCACTATGTTTTGCAATCTGCTCAAGTTTGAACAAAACAACTTAATTAGTCATATCCAAATCTAAAGAAATAATTTAAAAGAAAAAAAAAGTGCATAGATGTGTAGAAGACAACCAAAATTATTCAAATCAAATTGATTTATTAACCTATCTTGTCCCTCTTGAGGGATATGATGCACCAACACTTTATCTTAAGGAGGTATGTAGCATCCAACACACGTCGATTACAGACACGCACCCGATACGTGTTCAAACACGATTGTCACGTATCTGATTAAAAAAAAAAAATCAAACGCACATGTTCGACACGCATTCTAAAAACTAAAATAAAATTTAATAAAAAAATTTCACTTTTTCTATTTTTCATTTCCCTCTCCAGCAATTCTTAAGCAAATCTTCCGGTCCGACTTTTTACTTTCTTGCATGATTAGTTAAGCTTCGGGTCGATATTGTCGAATCAACGAATCTAGCCACCAACTTCCAAAGCTCGACTCTCGCATGCTTATTTCCTAAGAGAATCTGAATGTCAAAGATACAATACAAAGTCTGACGACTAACATTCTTTCTCCTCTTGACGCCAAAACTAACCCCGAAGCACAACAACCTGATGACTAACATTCTCTACTCTTTTGTCGAAACCTGAGGTCCTCCAAATAATTAAAGGGAATGGAGACGAATTCTCCAAATAAATAATCTTTAACTATATAACTCTATAAATTTATCACATAATGAAACATTATTTAAAAAAAAAAAAATTTAAATAACACTTACAATTTTCATGCTATGATGTTGTCTATCATTTGTTTAAGTTGTGCTATTTAATATTTAATATATATTTTTATGTGGATTTTGCAATAAAAAATGATGATCACTACCATATAACTCTATAAATTTATTCTATTTATTCATTTAATTTATATGAATTATTTTTTACTTACAATACACAAAAATTGTAATGTCAAGTCCAATGCATGTCAGAATCCTATATTTTTAATAATAGATGTGTCTTGTATTCATGTCCCCGTATATGTGTCTTTGCATCCTAGAGAGCCTTACATCTTCTTCACATCATGTGTCTTCAACAAAATTAGGATTTTCCTAGTTAAAACTGCTAGGAAAGAAGTCGTCCCAAGTAACAATCAATAATGAGCTGGTGAATTGTGATCGTAAGATTGACTAGTAAATAGCTAGAAAAATGCTTTACTGTAAGCTATGGAGAGTTAAAACCATCAAAACTAAAATAGCTTAACATTCAAACTTATTTAAGTTTAACTAATCATGAACATGTTATCTTCATGGCTTTATAAGTTTGATCAACTATCTACCATAATCATTTTTTCTCCAGGGGAAAGTTCACATCATCTAACAGAAGAGAACAGATCCAATGAGAAATTTTAAAGAAACTTCCCCTAATGCCATCATGGAAGAAAACATTAGTCTTTCCGATGATTGGAGTCTAAATATAGCATGATTCTCAAGGAATTTAACTAAAAACAAAAGCACAATATGCAATATAACAAAATAATTAGTTATATGCAATACCTTCTGACTGAAATGAGTTTTCCACCAGTATTAAAGCATATAACATACTATTTTCTTAGATTTAATATGCTAGATCATAATAATGTTCTGAATACAAGTGCAAAAAATGATACACGGGTAAATCAAATAAGAATTGAAATAAAAACAATGAAAATATGATTTAATGCAGAGAGGAGAATACTTGAGCATTTTTTTTTTGCCCATAAGAAATTAGAAGTGTTTGCAAAACTTCTCTGCTTAATATAACCAAAACTTTATAGTTTGGAAAAACACATACCGCATTCATGTTTTCTTTTACTAAAGAAACACTCATAAAAGCTAAAACCCAGTAGGATGTAAAAAAGACTAGATACACTCTGATAACACATAACAAGTCCTACCCCTTTGCCAAAAATGCTTCAACGCAACAAATGAATAAAGGATTTCAAAGCATTACCTGAAGTGGAGGAAGAAAAGCGCTGTAGACTTCCGAAAAGAAATTTGACATCGTTGTTAACCTGTGGTAATAACATATTTAGAAAATGGTAACTTAAACTCTACTTTCATATTAGCATTAGAAACCAAATTTCTTCAAGCAAATATACCAGTATAACTTTTTTTAGCAGTACAATGTATGAAAATACATTGAGAGAGTACATATCTAGTAATCACTGGCATAATAGAGATTAGCATTCAACCAAACTAGCCAAGATGAAGCATATCTAAGAAAATCCAAGAACAAAATTAGCACTTGAAATGTTCTCATATCGTTATACTGTTGTTTCTAGAGAAAACATGGTCTGGCACAAGAGGCACTCTGGTAAAATGAGTAGCTTCATAGCCCACTGAGGGAGTTGCGCCTAGATAAACAATCAAGCAGACCTTAACTTGTAGAAGGTTGTTTGTATCCTAAGAATATGGCCTTAGCCTTATGCCCTGCTACTTATAATTGGCCAATTTGGATGTCGCATGCATATCCATGACTTCATAATAACATCAAACATATACACAGTTTTCAAGGCAATCTCAAGTACTGGCAAAATTTCACATTATTTGTAGGCATGACTATCAAAGCTTGCATATGTCTTTGCATACAAAGTCCAACATAGAGACATTCATGATTCCGGGGTTTTAAATCAAGCCAACTATGAACTTCACTAGCTTAATGTTTCTGATGGAAATCTGAAATTATACATTCATCAAAAGCACAGAAAGTGAGGAGCACTAACCATTGTGCTTAGTTTTCTTTTAGTTTGTTAAAACTTAAATACGATGAATGTTAATACATGAACAAATTGTGCTCTTTAATATTCCGAGTCTTCTATTAGATTTAGGTCATTACCATATGATTTCAAATAGGTCCGTCGAATTCCAAGTCAACAGATTTAGAAATTCATATTTAATTTAACATTGTTGCAATGAGAATTAGAAAGAGACCCGCTGTCAAACAATCATTTCATCTTACAAAATTTTACTAACCTACTATGCGCTAGTTCCTTCCGGTTTCTTTACCCTGTCACTGAATCACCACCAGTACAGTTAAACTCCAATGCTACCCATTTTATATCTTTATTACCAGTAATTGTCCCTATTCCAATTGTTCCATTAGTTTGCCACTATTTCCTGTTGTTTCTCCCTATTTCTTCCACTATTTCACGTTATTGTTCCATGCTTCTGCTGCAATATATCCCCCTCTATTTTGTTCCCAGTATTGTACCTCCTTACATTCATAGTAAGGCTCGCAGTAGTCGCCTTCATTTCTCTCTATCCTTGCTCTCATACCCTTTGTTCTAGTTCTTTGCGTCATGGTTTGGCTTAAGAGTTTAGAATAAATCAAAGAATGAACAAATGAGCATGACAGAATGGTTAGGTTTAATGTTATCAAAACATTTACATACATAATGACAAAATAATCGAATTTATACAATTCTTAGCTTCATATACATACATTACAAACGCTTTATATGATAGTTGATAATAATGTATAAGCATCCAAAATATCACCCAAATTATTAACATGTTGTTAATCCTCTATCTCATTCAAATAACTGAAAGATAGAGAATTGTAGAGTGTATAATATGCATTTTCATATGATCTTGATTACAATATTCATCCATACAAACATCTCAATTCTATGAATCCCACTGACCACAGCATCATGAATATTATCAAAACTGTACATCTATCATAGTCACACATGTACCTAATTGAACTGCTCTTTAGTTGAATACAATCCTTCTCTACAAAAGATCTACTTCAGATGCTTTCTTGGAAATATTCATCAACTAAAAGTGAGTTGCATATAAGTATATAATTGTGAGCATATAACAATTCTAAATAATGTTAAAATAGGAATAGAAACATATGCATGGTAATCATTGAATATTGTAAGGATCTACACATAAACATGACATTTGAAGTATAAATTATTTCCTTGGCATAGACTGTAGCGTTACACTAGCATGTTGTCATTGATGTCATGGAAGATCATAGCATTCATAGCATTTGAATACCATCCTCATCAAGGATCAGAGATATGACTTTTGAATTAAAGGATAAACACTATGCATCGCCATCTTAGAAGCCATAGTAGCAGTAGCTTGTCTTAAACCTAAACTCTCACTTAGCCAATATATGTCCGTTGGCACAAGCGGGGAATAGCTCATATGTCTACAATTTACAATGCCTATAACTTTTCTTAGTTTAAATTGATTACTCATTGATTTGTACGTATGATTATTCTTTTGTATGTATCACGCATTAGGTTTGTTGTGTGATAGAAAAGTACCCTCAAACTTAACGGGAAAATTCTATAAGAAGATGTTGAAACCAACAATGCTTTTTATGGTGCAGAATATTGACCATTAAAAGAGAAGAATAATATTAAGTGTTACAGAGATAAGGATGCTTAGGTGGATGAGTAGCTTTACTCTTAGAGATAGGATATGAAATGAGCAAATACATAAAAATATTGGAGTAGCTCCCGTGGAAGATATGATTAGAGAGAGTCGCCTTAGATGGTTTGGTCACATAAATGGCGGCCTTTCGATGACCGGGGTAGGAAATTAGATGTATTAGATTTGGTTTACGTTAAGAAAAATAGAGGTAAACCTAAAAAGAGTTGGTTAGAAAACATTAGAAATGACATTTTTTATTAGAATTAAATGAGAATTTGACTCTTAATAAGATAAAATGAAGAAAAAGAACTCACAGTGGAATAAAGGCTTGATGTTGTTGTTGTTGTACACAATAGATTTCCTTTTCATAATTTATTGGTCGTTACTGAAAAATTATGCTTGCTCACTATTTTCTTGTGAAATTTTGAATTTTGATGCTTATGAAATTATCATTTACAATAAAAAAAGCATATTATATTAAAAGTAAACTTTCTTTTTTTAAGTTAAAAGCTGAAGATTTTCTTTGTGCATCTCATCCAAGTTGCATTAATAACACTAAAACTTGATCGTCCAAAGTCAAATACTAGTCTAATCCTTATGGTTCAAAAGTGTGTTCTTAAAATTCTAACATTTGTCACAAATTGGTTTGATGAAGATCTAACTACATTGTGGAATGGATAAACAATATATATTGGTTCAATAAAGCTACTTTGCAAAAAAATTAGATTGGCTGGATACTAATAGTTCAAAGTGGAATTAAGTGACAATCTGGCATAATCCTTCAGGTGATCTAAGAAGAACTCAGTTCTACCAGGTTTGAACTTCCCTGGTTTGACAAATCGGATTTATTTGGGGATTAACCTAGACAGAAATCGGTTTATTTGATTCCAAAAATATCCATTTGACTTACCAAGGATTGATTAGACTCTTTCCTCCTTGGAGTGGTCTTGTAAGCCCCAAAATGGCTTCAATGTATTGGCAAAGCTTCTTTTTAACTTTGTATGTGCAAAAAATAGAATATTTGTAAAATTAATCTTGATTAACCTGACTAAGCAATTGACAACTATGCCTTTAGGTTGATTTCAGCATTTGGATTATATTGGGTTGATTGCTCGATTTAGTTACTTTAGAGATTTGTTTGCTTAGAAACTGACGGACTATAGTATCATCACCCCCTTCTGTAGTAAGACAAATTCATAAGCAATTGATTAACAAATAGCATGCCCATGTGCACACGAAAACAGTAAGTCCTAAACATTATAAAATAACAATGGCCCATGTTACCAAGCGCAATGTATCATTTCTCCTAAAAGGCATACGTAGATGAGAAATTCCCATCAGCAGACTAAACAATGCAACCATGACAATGCTAGCCTACATTTCAATTTGTAAAACTTTCCAAGTTATAGGATCAAGCCATCTATTCCTAGAGACTAAAACATGGTTATCATCCAATACTAGATTCATTAAAGAAGAAAAGATAAAACAATCAATTTAAAATACAGAAAAAAAAAGAAATAAGGTCCAGAGGCAGAGAGTCTCCAAGCAAATGACAATAACATGCATGTTTACTTTATCATCATAATTAGCCTTAGAAAAATCCAAACTATTTGGGATTAGTATTATGAATCATCATGCTCTATTTGTTCGTTTTGACTTTTGAGTGTTGTATAAGGTGCTATACCTATTTACACAAACTTTTTGAATTTTATCAATATCACCTTTCTCTGTTAATCCTTCAACATTAATTTTATTATTAGTCATATTGGAGCATATTCTATTCTTCATGCCCATTAAAAACACCCAAATCTATTTTCCATTATCTTATCTTCAATAAATGCTACATCTATTGCCCTCCAATGGAATCACGTTTCAATGTATCCAAACCAATTTTGCTACCATTCTATCTAAGCATTCTCATTCTTGTCGCATTCAACTTGCCTACGATTTCTTCAACACCCAATAATGAAATAAAAAACATCATAACCAAACTAATTATATCTATAAGAAATTGCCATGGTTCCATGATATTCCCTTGCCACAATAAATACGAAGAAATCGACCATTGTAAACACCCAACAATAGATCCATATGTTAAAACCTCATTTATTTCATAGTTTTTTTGTGTAATAGATCAAAATATTAGAACCTATCACACCATCCATCCAATTTATCTATTAAGTAACATTAATTGAGAACATCAATAATACATGCACAAAAATTGCATATCAAGTATTCAATTTTTGTTTTGCTAATTCTAAGCCCTTTATCTTCTTAACATTTATTAAAATTTTCACCTATTTCAATAGAAGTCTCATCAATTACAACAACGATATTTACAAAAAACATACACTAAGTTACTTTACCATGAATGTCCTTTATATGTATATGATAGTAAATGACCCAAGTCAGGCCAAGTATTTTCTTGTTCCAAACGTTCACATGTTTCATCTTATCAAATTCAAGCTGAGCATGAACATGCTATGAGTTTTAACAACTTGTTAAAGCTCTTTAATTAATTCTATTGTTGAGTTTAAACCATAATTGAGCCTTAATAGACCCTAACTAAATGTATACAATGCAACTATTAAAAATAAATGTGGTCATAATCTATTATAAAACAATTCATCACAATCGACAAAGTTTGCTAAATATTATTTTAAACATTTTCTGAATGATAAAACTAGATTTTTAATCTCTCTCAAACTATTTACTTAATAAGTCATACTTATACAAGAATATTTATATTTATACACACGATGATATATATAGTTTCTAAAGTGCATGAGATATAAAAAATATAAGAATACAGAATAAGTCATTTTATAAACAAAGCATCATTAACAAAGCATTTAATCCAGTCTTATCAAGCTAATTATTCAACAACAAATAAATATATTCAAAGACATAAATAAGTAGGTCAATGATCAAGCTTGCTCATGAACTAAAAAAAAAATTGCTCAAGCTTGTTCAAATATCTAAAAAAATAACGAAACATAAACAATTATTATGTGAATGAGAATCAAGTTGTTCGTAGTGTACTATTTTGCTTAAGACTAAAAAAATAATAATATTTGCATGTGGTTTTGTTTAAATAGTTTATTCTTTTAAATCACTTTCCACATTTCACTTTTTTATCTTAAGCAAAAGACTTTTTTAAAATACCAATTCACCCACCATAAGCCATTAACAGAAAATCTCGCACCAGATAAAAGTTTCGTTCTTGCTCTTCTACATGTAAAAATTGATTCTTACTAATTTTTTACTTCTACTGGTATAGAAAAGTCCCTCTCAAACTTAAGAGAAAATTCTATAAGATTGTAGTGAGACCTGCAATGCTTTATGGTGTTGAATATTGGACATTAAAAGAGAAGCATAATATTAAGTTAAGTGTTGCAAAGATGAGTATGCACAGGTGGATGAGTGACTTTAATTTTAGAGACAGGATATGAAATGAGCATATACTTGAAAAGGTTGGATTAGCTTCAGTGGAAGATAAGATTAGAGAGAGTTGCCTTAGATGTTTTGGTCACATAAAATGGCGGCCTTCTGATGACCCAATTAGAAAAATAGATGTATTAGATTTGACTTATGTTAAGAAAGGTAGTCTACCTAAAAAGACTTGGTTAGAAAATATTAGAAATGACCTTGCTTTATTAGATTTAGATGAGAATTTGACTCTTAACAGGACAAAATGGAAGCCAACCACATATAGTGGAATAAAGGCTTGTTGTTGCCGTTATTGCATGCATGGCATTTCCTTTTATTTTTTTAAATATTCTTATTATGCAAAACATACGCATATGAATTTTAATTTTTATTTAAAATCAAAACTATTAAATGGTCATAATATTTTCTAAGATCTATATTAAGGCTTGGTTTTTTATCTTGAGACTTATTCAAATATTCAACTCTTTATACTAAGTTTGCAAGGTCCAATTCTAAAATCTACTAAACACCTAAGAAAATGTTTGTATTGATCAAGCTATTAGTCTTTCATATATGTTCAAGTATATTTAGATGCTTTTTTATCCATTACTTTTAAGTACACAGCCAAAATAGAGAAAAACTAGATCAAAGAGCACTCAAATGCATCTTTCTTGGCTATTCAGCCGCCCAAAAAGATTACAAGTATTATTATCTACCTACAAGAAAAACCCTTATCTCTATTGACATTACCTGTGATGAACAAAATTCTTATTTTTTCAAGCCTCATCTTCAGGGTGAAACTGCACTTGAGGAAGATAAGAAAAATGAACTAGTGCCTCTTGACCTTCCTGCACCACTTCAAACCAATCCACCAGAAAACCATGATAAGAAAACAAAAGATAAATCTGTCATTATATTTGGGAAGGTATACTCCAGGCTCAGAAATTCAGATTGTACTATAAAGCAGATCCAAGAATTGAACCATCTCCTGGAAATAAGATAAGCTCACCACCTCCCTAATACCATATAACCAACTCTATATCCTTCAATAACTTCTCATCCTCACACGAAAATTACTTAGTTATACTAGAAGATATCCAAATTCCTAAAGATATTTTTGAGGTCTTATCTGATGAAAATTAGAAAAATGTCATGATTGATGAAATGGAGGCCCTAGAAAAGAACAATACATGGGAGATCATCAATCTACCGATATGTGAAAATCCGGCCGACTACAAATGGCTGCTCTCTGTAAAGTACAAAGCTGATGGCACATTAGAAAGATATAAAGCAAGACTAGTGGAAAAATGGTACACTCAAACATATGACATTGACTACCAAGAAACCTTTGCACCTGTAGCCAAGATGAACACTGTCAGAATACTACTCTCACTAGCAGTCGAGTACAACTGGCATCTGGAGCAATTGGATGTGAAAAATGCATTCCTGCATGGGGATCTGGAAGAAGAGATATTTATGGAAATACCACCAAGGCTTACGGAAAAATCTGAAGGTAACAGGGTGTGCATATTAAAAAAGACTCCATATGGGCTCAAACAATCACCAAGGGCCTGGTTTGAAAGATTCTCAAAATTCATGCTTCTTAATGGGTATAAATAAAGTCAAGGGGATCATACATTATTTTTTAAACACTCATACTTAGGGGGAGTCACAATATTATTACTATATGTGGATGATATTATCTTGAATAGAAATAAGAAAGAGGAGAAAGTTATTTTAAGGAAAAGTCTTACGAATGAATTTGACATCAAAGAACTTGGTAGACTAAAATACTTTCTCGGAACTGAAGTAGCTCACTCCAGCAAAGGAATCTTCATTTCACAACAGAAATACATTAAACTAAAAAAATTGGTAATTTAGCTTGTATACCAGCACCAACACCAATAGAACCAAATCTTAAACTGGGGGAAGCAAAAGAAAATCTAGATGTAGATAAAGGGTCTTATCCGAGACTTGTATGAAAATTGATCTACATCTCCCACACCAGACCAGATATAGCATTTGCTGTAAGCATGCTCAGTTAGTTTATACAGAATCCAAAGCGGGTTCATATGCAAGTGGTAGACAGGATACTGCACTACCTTAAAGAAAACCCAGGGAAAGGGATTCTCTTTAGAAGAGATCCCGTAATATCCCTAGAAAAATACACGGATGCTGATTATGTGGGATCACTAGTAGATAGAAAATCTACCTCTGGATACTACACATTTCTTGGAGGGAACTTAGTTATGTGGAGAAGAAAGAAACAAAATGTGGTGGCAAGATCTAGTGTTGAAGCAGAATATAGAGCTATGACCTTGAGAATATGTGACTTACTATGGATCAAGATGATTCTAGAAGATCTAAGGATCAAGTGGAATGATCCCATGAAGCTACATTGTGACAACAATTCAGCAATCAGCATAGCCCACAATCGAGTCCAACACGATAGGACTAAGCATATAGAAGTGGATAGACATTTCATTAAAGAAAAATTAGAAAATGGTCTAATATGTATAAACCATATATCATCAAAGGATCAACTTGCTGATATCCTTACCAAAGGGTTGAACAGCTCTGTCTTTTTCAGAATGATTGGCAGGCTGGGAATGACAGATCCATATTCCCTAGCTTGAGGGGGAGTGTTAAAATCATAGCCGTTCAACCTAAAAGAAATCCCATGGCCACAAAGCATGATCCGTGGGAAGCTCTCTCAATCCCGCCAGAATTACTCTCCCGATGAGTTCTTTCCAAAGAAGAGTAGTTAATTAGGAAGGATCGTATTAAGGAAATTATGAATGAATTAGAAGTTATTTATTTATTTGTTAAGACATCTTGTATAGTCTATAAATAGGGATAGTTGTATGCAATAAAATTAAGCTTTCCCTCTCATACCTCTCAAATTAACATGCCATTCAAAGCACCCAATAAAATAAATGCCATAAATTATATATTATTTTCTTTCAAAATAGTAGATTAATTGCAAAAATCAGCAAGACTAACCTCTCCTACTTCCTTTTAGGGTTGGTTATTCTGATCTTTTGACACAAGTTCTTTCACAATAGGATCTTCAACAAAGTCAACAACTTAATAGAAATTGTGTATGTATCAGTAGTTCTTCCCGAATATGATATCCAATAAGAGTCGTAAGGCATAATAAATCAATTTCTATTTTATTAATGAATATAAAAAATTTCTTTGAATAATGCGTGGGGACAAATTAAAGCTACCCAAAACATCATTACCATCATACATCATAATAAACAATAAAATAACGGAAGAAATTTGAAGACAAAGAAGTAACAAATACTAAAAGGAAACCTCTCCAGTAAACGGCAACAAACGTAAAGCTCTTCAATATCTGAGTCAATCTTATGATCAATGTACTGCAATAGAAGCTCACACAAGTCAAAATTAGATTCAGCAGGTACGTCACAGCCTGAACCCAAAATGACAGGATAAAGAGAAATTAGCGATTGCAAAATAGGAGAAAGAAGGCCGTCTGCCCCAAATTTTCTGTACAACTGAGCAATGAGATTTAGAATCAAACAATTGCTAACTTCAAACTTCTCAATCCATTTCGGAGGATTTCCTGACCATAATTTGATTTTGGATTTCTCAGACCCCTCAGATGCTATGTGGTTAGGAAAGTTGCTAACAACACCACCAGCAACATTTGCAAAATGGCTTAGAACTCCTTGTGCAGAAGCAGATTTGTTCAAATTAGCATCCTCAGAAATATTTTGCGAGATTGCAACGGCTTTACTTGAAAAGCGAGAAGCCCAATCCATTGGATCTGCACACACGGTTGACTTGATTTGCAAGATATTCAAATTCGAGCAGGAGACTGCAGGCAATTCAACTTGATGAAGCATCATTTCAGAAGCCTTAAAAGAAATACCAAAATAAATAAAACATAAGCATCAAGGCTAACATTATCAGCAAGAATTAATGATATGATAACGAATAAATAGCAAAAATACCTCCGCCATCTTTGGATGATTTAAATCACATGATGTACTACCTGAGGCCTTAGTTGCTTCAAGTTTGAATGTGCTTCCTCCAAGAACCTACTAGAACATAGCATATTTGAAGTTATCAGAAAACAATTGGGGTTAACCTAACTTAACACTATCAAAATTTTGAAATCCAATGGAATTAATTTTGCACTAGGAAGCTAAATGGATCTAGTAATCCTCTCAAAAAGTTATAAGGAAACAGACTTCAACTGTTGATTTAGGATTGCAAATGTCTGCAGTGATATATGCAAGCCATATTTTAAATGATTTATGAGCTTAAAGTATAATCAGAAAATACCACAAATATAAACCCCAAGAAGCTAGGCTACAGTGTGTATGTTATCAGAATAGAGCACCTGTGAACAGTTGTTAGCATCGTCCTGCAACTCATACAACCGGAAGTTCTAAACCTCATAAAATAATTTATGATGGATAAGGAAACATGTTATGCTTTAGAGAGTAGATTTTTTGTACTATTTTATTGTAATCTAAATATATATCAATTAATAACTTCAACATAATATATAGTTTTGAAAAATGAAGTGGACCCAATGCTTTGAAGAATATATATGCTGGTTGTTCCGAGCACAAAACATAAGTAAAGATCTTCTTTAATAGCACTACATCTCTAGTAAAATGACAATTAATCTCAATGTTTTTATTTCTTTCATGGAATATAGGATTATTAGATAAGGAAAATAGCAACAAAATTGTCAAAATTTAAGGCCATGGCTTGTTTAGTTTAAGAAAAAGAAATTCCCCCAAGACATATCATTTCATATGAAGGATGTAGCATGGCTCTACATTATACCTCAAAATTTGATCTAAGAACTGTAATTTATCTTTTACATTTTCATATGACGAAGTTACCTCCGACAAATATGTTGTAGTGCAGAAATATAAATTTTCTAATATCACTAGATACAATATAGTTAACAACAACAAAATCAAGCCTTTATCCCACTACGCGGGGTCGGAAATTATATTAAAGAATTCATATCATATGATATTTCAATAAATTTTACGTTGATAGTTCAACAAATTTTATTGGCAATAGGAATGTTAGATACATTGTAGTCAGCATCACAAAAAACTTCAACATTATGATGTCCATTCTTGGAGACTTCTATAACTACATCCAATGATTATGTGCATGAATGTGCAAGTACTGACTAACAACTCAAACAATAGAGGAGATGAATCCTTTGACAGAAAGATAAAACAATTTATCAACCTACATTAATGATAAGCATGCTCAACTATATCTTCTTCATTAGCAATACCCTGAGTGTTCATACGAGTCTAAACAATTTTGAAACCTGAAGATCAATCCCCTCAAGAAGATCAGGGACACATATTCATTGAGATAAGGAAACCAAATCTTTGTTCTAGTCAAATTCAATGCTAAAAAATCATTTAGGATGACCCGCATCTCTGGTCAAAAATCATATTTTTGAAAAAAAAAATCACTTCAATAACCCCATTTTGATCATTCCTTGCAAAAAGAATGTTAAGATGATTGATTCATATAAAAAACTTCAACGACGTCATAATTAAGGAAGACAATACTCACATTCATTTGCAACAATAACCATCCTTGATTGATTGCAACAAATGAATGAATCTAAGAAAAATTGAGCCTAAATTAGAATGTGTCAAAGTAATTGATCCCATAAATTTGAGTAAGGCCTTTAGCAACCCAGTGATCTTTATAGCAATCATCAGAGCCATCAAAATAAAATTTGATGCTGTGACAAGATCCTATATGAGTTAATTTAAGGAGGTAGTTATTTCAATATCCATAGCTTGTTTCTAACATAGATCATATAGTGCCTCCTAGTATTCCTAGGAATAGAAATTAATGACAAAGGCCAACAAAATGACAAAAAAATGAGAGGAAAGATAATCAAAGGATATATAAGACTGAATGGAACAATCAGTAGATCAATTCACTATCATTTACTTTTATAAATAAAAATCAATAAATGCTACTCAAAAGGTGGATGCTCAGCTAGTTGGGATAATCTGTATGGAGGTGTTGTTATAGGAGGATGAGGTCGATGATGAGTGAAAACCTATAGAGGTGGAAAGATTAGCATAAACTCTTATGGACGAAGAGAAATGATATAGAGGAAGAAGGTGAAGAATAGTAAGGTGAGGACTTCTGGAAGGAACCATTAGTAGAAATATATAAGAGTTTGGTAAGCAGATCGGAATAGTGATAGTCTTTCTATGAATGAGAGTGTCCAAGAAATATAGCTGAATGGCCCAAGCAAAGAATTGTTGCTAGTGCAAAAGAAATGCACAAAATAGACAACCAAAAACTCGTGGTTGGAGAAGAAATGTGACCTTCTATTGATAGTGAATGGAGGAGAAGGGAGTGCCCCAAGAACCACAAATAAAATACAATTAACAAAGTATCATAAAATCAATATAGCATCACCCCAAAAGTGACGAGGAATGTTATATAGAACAAGTAAATGCTGATGCTTAAGTATAGCAAACCCAATATGTTGATATATATAAGAACATGAAGTTTGATGAATGTTCTCATTATACGCATAGAACAAGAGAAATTCAGATTGCATACATTCCAAACCATAATTAGTATGAAGAGTTCTAATGATATGAAAAATAAACTTCTATTTCTACAAAAAAAAAGAAAAGGTGAAAAAATTTGATGAGATTTCAAACCTCCATCAAGAAAATACACTAATATGACATGAGAATGAACATCAACAAAAGTACCTAAAACCTGATAGATAAGAAGAATACTAGACCCCAAATATCAAAATGAACTAACCTAGACAGAACACTAACAGGACTTGGCATAAAGGAAATAACACTTGATTATATTTACAAAGCTCACATGCATTAAATTCAAATTTCAGCATCCGATGGCTTTTCTCTTAACCGAATTTTCAAGAACAAAAAATCTCTCTCTACATGTGAATTCCTTTCCAACTCAAAGTTCCAAGGCAGTGTCCTCTCTCTAGCAAATTTGTACTAGTTTGTCTCTCCAATGATGTACAACATATTTTGGAGCCCATTTAGTGTGACAAAAGTGGACATCAGAAGTTATATGTTATTTTATTTTGATGTATTCTCTTTATTTGAAGCCTAGATCATATGTATTAGAATATCTAATTGCATTATATTTTTAAGTACTTTATTTTTTACCCTTGTAATTGATGGAATCATAATATTCTTCAAGCATATACGTTTTTTTTTTATCATAGCTATGTCATGGACCATACCGAGCCTTTATGTTATTGGGTTTGATAATCGGTATGAAAATAATTGTAGATTCAGTGGCAGGTAAAACTTCGGTAGTGCGTTTACTAGTAGGTTTAAATTTGGTAGTATGTTTGAAGTTAAATGTAGGTATGGATACAATAGTAGGCTTGAATATTTTAGTGTCTTTTGGTCTCCATTTTATTTTGATAAATAGAAAGCTTTGTAATGTAAATTACTTGCATATGAATGGAAAAAAAAAATCAATTGCTTCTATTTTGTCACTGTGAGCTTTTCCAAGAGGACTTCTTGAGTATGAGAGTTCAAAATAATTGAAGGACTTTGCAGAAAGAGGATTATATCTATGGCCGAGGGCTACTCATTTAGTTCAATATGTGGTTATTATAAGTTACATGTATGATATATATAGGCTCTCATAGGATCTTCTTACATTATAATTTCATTATAATTGCTTCTTTTTTATGATTTTGTTAATCGCATATTAGAGCTCATCTTATCTTGAAAAAAAAAAATCTTTTAAGTTCAACCAATAGTTCATATTAATCCACTAGTATCAAGTTATACCGTTAGCTAGTCTACTTTAATGATCAGTGAAGAACTATCTTGCATATTCTTAAATAGCATTCTTATTGTTCTACATCATTCAACTTCCACTCTATACAAGCCTAATTTATACATGCCACCATTAAGAGTGAATTTAAGAAAGTCTCAAAAATAATTCAAAGGAAATTTTGAGAGAAAAACAAAGAAGAAGATAAGATTAAGAAGGAAATCATCATCAAGTGTCCATCACCAATTAGGAATCAAAGCGATTCTATTATGTCACTAGTTTTCTACACAAATTTGTGTATCCATGGCAATCACAACTGAAGAACTATCACGCACATTTCAAGTTTACTTTAAGGAATCTAGATTTATTTTGTAGGAAGTTCCAATACTCTTATTAACCTCCGCACTATAATCAAAAAGAAAAAGACAAAACAAAATAAACAAAACGCTTGAAAATCATTACCTGTGCCGAATCTCGCCCAAATCCTGCAGAAATCGCGGCTACAGTCGCCCATCCCTCTGCAACGGCGCTGAAGTGTCGTATCCCGCATGCGAAGATGTGCTGAATTGAGTCGTTAAATAAGACGACGAAGCATAGCATTCCGGTGGTTATTGGTCTCTTCCACGCGGTCGCAAGCCAAAGACGATCCCATTACCCCCTTGCTCATTCCTTACGCTCGAAATCCCCCTGTCGTGAAACTTCCAAGCCCGAAAACCTCCAAACCCAATCTTCCCGAAGCTGCAGGCTACCTCCGAACACATCCTCCCTATACCCAATCTTCTCTGAGGCCCAAGTCGACCCCAAACGAGCGCAAGCCACCGAAGCCTCCCGACCCCTAGTTCTTCCGGTACAGAGAAAGAGAGGGAGAGTGAGAGATAGAGATAAAGAATTATCCCTACCTTTCTAATTCCTGCCGACTGCCCTAGCTCCGACTCCTTCTCACCCTTCGACGACGTTCTTCTTCCCATCGGGTCGGACATTACACATTTTGATCGGAAGCCACAATCGGAGCTTGCTGCTTGCGAAGGTAGCCATCATTCTTGCTTTCGCGCGCGGGATTTATGATAAAAAGAGGGCAACCGAGGATTTAACTCACTCTGAGATTAAAAGGTTGCCTAAACCCGCTCAAGTCCCTCATGAATCCGGCAAATTATTGGGTCAGGTGAATTGATGTTAAATTAATTATGATTAATTTCAATTAACTATAGTTAATTTTAGTTAATAATAATTAATTTTTTAAAATTAACTATTATTAATTATAATATTTTCTCATTAATTACAATTAATTCTAATTAAATATTGATTAGTCTTCATTAATTATAATTACTTATGATTAATTCTGCATTAATTACAATTAAATTTGATTAATTATGATTAATTTCCATTAATTATAATTAATTGCTTTTAATCGTAATTGCTTGCCAATAAGAGAAATGCAAAAGATGTTCTCTTGCCTCGATCCACAAGCCGACACCTTGCCGGTCGCCAGGTATAATCTTCTAAACTTAAAACTCTGAAAGCTCACTATCGTCTTTTACGACGGATCGGAAACCGCTCGTACACGTCTTTATTGCGCGTGGTGGGATGGGACCCCGGTGCGTCGACTACGAAGAGACAGGTAATCACTTAAAAGCCTCATTTCGGAGTTCGTGGCGCAACGGAAAATCGCCTATACACGCCTTTATTGCGCTTGATGGGATGGGAACCCGGTGTAATGCCTACGACGAGGCGGGGTTACTCATAAGCACACTCGAGCGAGGGGAAAGCAAATTGTGTTTTAAAACAACTACCCTCGAAGACCCCATACATGTCTTTATTGCACATGGTGGGAATGAAGATTACGGTCGCAGTGTCTAAGGACACCTACCATACATGCTTTTATTGCACGTGGTAGGAAGGCTCAGTTTCTCGTAGTTTTTCCTAAATGGAGGGGATGTCGGGAGGCTGCCGAAATTTCGAGTGAACACAAGACCACACTTGAACCTGATTTGGACTCAAATGAACACGAACTAGTGGACTTTAGCAAGAACTATAAGGACTTGTATTTGAGCATAAATCAAATGATTAATTAAGACTTGAACCTAAATAAAATAAGTTCGAACTTGAATCGGATTTGAATATAAGTGAACATAATTTGAACTCAAGCAAAGACTTGAGTTGGATCACAGGGGACTTGAACAAGAACCTGAACTTTCAAGAACAACATGAACTCGAATTGTACAACATCAAGTGAAACTTGGACTTGAATGTGACATAATGCATACACACTGGACTTGCAAATGAAATTAAAATGAGAACTTGAACCTCAATGAACCATGTCTTCAATATAAAATCAAACTCAAAACAAGCTTGAGCAAATGATGTTGAACTAGATTCAGATGCAAATAACAAACGACTTGAATTCGGGTCCGATCGCAGGAGACTTGAACAACATAAACTATAAAGAACTTGGATGGAACACACAGGACTGAGCCTTGGATGAATTGGCAAATCAAAGTCTAAATGCATCATGGTCATCCTAGTGAATAGCAAGTATTCAACTACCATGATGACTTTCATCAATTAGCCATGTGTAGTCTAGTTGCAAGTGGAGGCATAATGATATTTCAGTGAACCTTGCAATACATGTGCAAGATGAGTTGAAGATGAAAACCAAGTAATCATCAACAAGAAGAAAGGACTTGTGGATCCGAACTTGAGCTATAGTTAGAAAATCAAATTTTAATTTGATGGGTTTACGATTATCTCAATATCACAAGTATCGATCATTGAATTTGAGAAGCATGTGGAAACAAGGAGTTCGCGATCATACCCAGTCTACAAACAATTCATCTAAATAATGAAGGATACACAGTGGATACGACAGGTCCTTCACATAACTACAGTGCGTTGTCAATAAATAAAGGAAATCAATATGACGACTATAAACGAGCAGCAAATGTAACAACCTCCTCACATTCAACATCATATAGTCTGCAAACGAACACAACCCCCTGTCAGTCAATGTATACGGGGAGAATATGCAATGAATGCAATTCACCTGGAAGCCAAACATCGAGGTACATATGGGTATACCAACTCATTGACAAACAACAAAGTCATAAATAAATACACACCGTGCAATATGTGATGTTCATCATGATGTCTGCACTCAATATTAACATACGAACAAGCATATTGGATCATGCAAGTAATGACAAGTAAATACTGTACATCTTCCATATGTACAAGACATCTACATATCTACGAGCTGTCAAAACAGAAGGCAATGAATGCTACGACACCTCTATATCAACATCACTATTCAATGTTAAGCAAACACATTGATTCGCTGCAAGTGGAAACGAAAGATATACAACATATATACGCTCTTATGAACTATCGTAGGGGACTTGTTATACATTCAATGCATCATCCCCAACAAAATGTAATATGGCTACATCAAGTACAAATGACAACGTGCCACTGTGAGAAACTCGTGATACATACAATGAGCCACTTACAAGCATCTACCAGTATAAAGTAGGAGATATGTTAGTGCACTATATTCAATCTAAAGAAAGCAACAAGTAGTGCACGATAGTTTACCTGTACAATGCAGCAAACAACTCAATCCACAAGCTGCTACAACACGCCATCGGAAACGCAGCGTCCTTGCAAGCAGACAGAAGACGTTTACAAATATTTCAAAATACTCCCACACATACACTATAATATGTATGCACATAGGTATACTAAAGGGAAAAATACAATCAAAAAACAACGTGGGCCCTAGCAAGCATGTTTTTGATACACACGTGACGTTTAGGGAAGCTGCGCGGGCTAAATGATGAATCTAAGTTCGAACCCGATCCTTCTTGACATGGTTCAAACCATTAAATAAATATGCAGTCATGAGGTCGACCAATATATTTATTTTATATATTCATATTAGGCCTTCAAAGCCTTTTATAAGGAAAATTCATCTATAAAATCATTCACCCGCATGGACCCCGGCGAGAGTGTTTCGATACACACATGACGTTTAAGGAAGCAGCGCAGGCTAAATGATGAATCTAAGTTCAAACCCGATCATTCTCGACACAGTTCGAACCATTAAATAAATATGTGATCATGAGGTCAATCGAGATATTTATTTTATACATTCATATTAGGCCTTCAAGGCCCTTTATAAGAAAAATTAATCGATAAAATCATTCACCCGCATAGGCCCCGACGAGCGTGTTATTGGTACACACGTGACACCTAGGGATGCTACGCGGGTCAAATGGTGAGTCCAAGTTCAAGTCCGATCCTTCTAAGCGGGGTAGATGGAAGTTGACATGGCTCAAACCATTAAATAAATATGCGATCCCGAGATCGGCCGGGATATTTATTTTATATATTCTTATTAGGCTTTCATGGCCTTCAATAAAGAAAACTCACCAGCAAAATCATAAAGCCTACGAAACCTGATCCTCTGTCAACAAGTTGACAAAGTTGACAAGGTTCGATCAGTTAGCAAGAATGATCCCAAATAACCCGATGTTGGTCATGTTGAATGTTTATCTTAATCGGAGGGGTTCACAAACACTTTGAAATGTATTCCAAGCTCCACCCAAATGCCCACAAAAAAATTCAAAAAATCCTAAAATCCAAATATTTAAAATTGAAATAATCCATCAAATCAGTTAAAGCAAAAATCCATCCACCATCCGCAACTGTTTATCGAGGTGGACAAAATTCGAATGTAACTTCAACTCACATGGAGCTAAATGCCTAATCGAAAATATCACTAGAATTCATCCTCAAATAATCTCATGCCAGTAAGGACGTGGAACGTGTCCTCTGACCGGCGATTTTGCCGCCAAATAGCGCCGCAGGATAAACTTTTATGACCCATGGCCCTCTGAACTGAGTGGTTTTGCCGCCAAATGGAACCACTAAATACTGGTTATGGCCAGAGCTAATACGTTCCTTAGTGACATCAAATTCTTGCGATATGAATCAATAGGATATGATCGATAGGGCATAAAGCCCTCTATTAGCTAAGGTGTATTTAAATTTGTCCCTTTAGACAAACATTCATCTTAAGTCTAGAAAGTTCCCTTGGATGAAGCAACCCATGGCTGCCACAAAGATCATTCTGTTAGGTTGGGTCGACTACCTCCTCTAACTAAGTATACCAGGGTTCACAATGGCCCGAGATGACGGAACCATAGGATCTTGATCGGGTCCATCATCCATTCCCCCACCATACACTTTAAATGCAAAATGATGAAATTTTTAATTTTAAATATCAAATCTTCAAACCTTTCAAACTTCCAATATCCTAAGCTCATACTCCTACTATATGTCAGATACCATATATCTATAGATATAGCGTATTCACTCGACGACTAGCCTTAATCGAAAGTTCTCTCTCGTTATCAGGAGGGGTAATTAACTATAGGGGCTTGCCCCTATAAGAAACCAGAACTCAGATCACGAAGTCCTCATATAATGAGAGCATAATCTCTTGGTAGTGTCTTATCTAAAAACCCATCCGCCTTTTAAAATTTACCCTGGAACTTAAATCCGTTAAAACTCCTCCCAAAGAAAGCAACAGTGGGCAGAGGCCCGGCCAAATTTTCGGAGCCCACAACTCTCTTTAGTTTAGACAGTTTTGTTGCATCCCATCTAATAGATTGTAGCCATTATCATGCCATTGTGCTTCTCATGTATAAATTGTACAAAAAATCAAAGTCAAATTCAAGTAAATCATTGTTATACGTAATTCTTGACAAGCTTCACAAAGGGGGATCCGCTTTTAATTGTGGAGTTATTTCTTTTCATAAGCATTCACGCAAGAGATGTAAATACTGTGTCCCTTAGATAAAAACCTGTAAGTTTAATAATCAGCATGCAGTTACCATCTAGAACCCACTCCCAGAACTACTGCCACACAAATTGGATGCATGTATTTAGGTCCAACAAATGTCTTATTTTGCCTCCGATGTCAGTCTTTTTCAATTTACCAAGTAACTATCTGCATTACTTAAATGTTAGGTTTATCTTGACAGATCAATTTATTATCACTACAAAAAAAAGAGGACAGAAATTAAGCTGCTTGAAACTATTTACCTCCAGAGATTTAATCAACCTATTGTTTTTCTGGTCATCATGATGTTTCTTCATAAGATCATATAACTTCCCTTGGTAAGCAACATTGATTTCTGAAATTATTTCAGCAGGTAGATCCTTAATGACACTCATATCAAGATGACTAACAGGTGGCAGTTCTGAACTAGCATTTTCATAAGAACTGGAATTGAATAAATTAACATGCAATGCATCTGAACAAGCAGCAGCCCTGTCAAAACACAACTGCGAATTTTCATGAAGCTTCCCATGGTGTTGCAAGTCTAGCAGGTGTTCTTCACTAGAAGACGATTCTGTAAATAGCAGGAAAAAAATTTTCATCACTGGACAAGAAATATACTTCACCTATAAAGCATATGACAATAGGAAGAATGAGAAATTTTATAAAATGAAGGGTAGAATCCCCAAGAGGATTTTCTGGCACCCACAAAGTCAACACATTTTCTAATGCAACCTCTTATACATAAAGGTGCAAAGTGTATGAAGCTGATGCGGGCCAACATCACATCTTATTATATATAAAGAGAGATTGTTGTCCGTTCGGGAAAAAATCCAAATGGCCTGAACCCCATTTTCAGGTCAGGTTCCAATCTTCAAGAAGTTAATTAATTTTTAAATAATCAGATTTCCTCTGATGATGATGCATATATCAAGGTTTATTTAGAACTGAGGAGTCAACTTCCTATGAGCGCATGCCCTCATAGTTAATTACCCCTCCTGCACGTGAAAGAATACTCTCAATAAAGGATGGATTACTTCAATATAATTTTCAATTTAAGCATTGTAATCTAAGATTTGTTTCGATTGACAGGAGATGTTTATAGAGGATAGAAGTAAACCCGATCAAGATCCCATGATTTCGTCAACTTGAAAATATAAACGATCCCAGTCTACCAAAATTAATGACCCATAGTTCATATTGTCAAAGGAATCCGATTAGCATACATGAGTTACCCCCTTTCAGAGATCCTGAATAGACTGAGGTGATTGAGTGTAGGCTTTGACTTAGGATGAGGCTTATTAATCTATTTAGGAATTGCCCGTTAATTTGTTTGAGGATCGGACTTATTGTTCCCTTTAAGAGTTGCCCGCATGCAATTAAAATGGGGCTTATATCCATTGGGAAGTTCAAGTTTTTTTTTTTCTTTTCGCTTTGCATACTCATTCTTCGGTTTTAATATGAATAAATTTTAAATACTTGAGAGATGTCGAATGGATTTTAAGGTAGCATTCTAATCTATATATACTTCTTTTAAACATGGTTTAAAATTGCGCAATATGAGGCTCGCCTTGAGGCCCGCCTTTGCGCAATTCTAGTAAAAAATGCCTCGATGCTTACGCCTCGAATTTTTTTTATGAGGCTTGCGCCTCAACTTGGTTGAGGCCCGCCTCGCCTCACTGGCATGAGGCTTACGCCTCACGCTATATATATTAAAACTTACAAAAATCTTGAAGTAAATGCCCGACATTGGACTC